AAAAACATTTTTTCACGAGTTACGAACAATATTTTTCATCACAATGTGGCGGAAATTGGACTTTTAGGCACGCGGAGGGTGCCGAAAAGTTCACTTTTCGTCACAGCGTGATGAAAAGGATTTTTCACGACTGTGGTTAGTAGCCTTCGGTTTCGCCTCGGGCCGCCAACTTCACACTCGTGAAAATTCGGTCTCACTCGTATCGAAATATACTATTCTGGCGGGTATGAGTTTGCCCTAGTTAGCCCTAGCCGAAGACAAGAGTTGCAATCATGTGAACTAGAAAGGTTTTTTTAGGTCGTATGTCGACTAATATTTTTTGTCATAACGGGCGTAGCCAGGGATTTACGGTCGTGTAGCGTCCGTAAAGCGGTGTCTTACGGCCGAAATGTCGAAAATTATTATTTTCATCAGTACTCCTAATAATAATAACAAGTTAATACCCAAAAGTTGACAAAAAAAAAATTGTTTTGCTTGAATTGCGTCAAATAGTCGTTTTTCGGCTGTTTCATTCTGCCCCGCTGATTCATTTTGTCCTACTCTTCCTTACTTTGCACGATAAAGTTTAATTCCCTAATTCCCTGAACTGATGTATTCACTAGAAGGACTTATCAATTACTTGCCAAATAAACTTAACTGATTGTGTACAACTCAATTCATTCAGCACATCAGAAAACCTCTCAGTGAAGAGTATTGGAATTGTTTCAGGGCATTGCTCCTGTTTTGTAAACACGTCATTTTGATGAAAAAAAAAAGATTCATTCCTACTTTTATTGGAAGCTCTCTGCTCATGTTAATTTCGACTGCTGACTTCTAGCAATTTATTTATTCTGAAAAAAAACTACATCTGGAGATTCCTTCATCTGAATAATCCCAGTTAAATCTCCGGCTGCAATTCCTGTAAATTGGATTGAATTCTTCCGAAAAAACCCCGGCCTCATTTCTGGAGAAGTGGGGATTTCCCCGGTTCAATCCTCGACCCCAGTTGGTCCCCAAAAAGGCATTCGCACCCTTCAGAGGCGCATCAGTATTCACCTCCGGATAATGATCGGCTCATTGAAACAAAAATCTGAAAATGTCAAGTAACCCCTGAGCTAAACATTTCCCCCAAATGACAAAAAAAAGAATAGTAAGATATCTCAAACCATATGGTTGTCGCAGGTTAAGACCTGTCGGATGTTTCTTGCCAGTGTAGGACAGTGTAGGTTCATCTCTGAAACTTGAAAATTTAAGGTGCAAAATAAATACAGAGGGATACAACGTAGGAAGACCCCGAGTAGTCATTGAACAGAGGACTTTTAAAAGTTCCAACACATGTTTCGTATTAGATGTCGCCTACCTGTCTCCAGGGTTTTATTTCCTGACCCGTCTGCGCGCACCGGCTATTGAAATACGACTACCAGAACACATGTTTCCCATCAAAAACGGGATTTCCCCGGGATTATTTACAGGGTCATTTTCCCCTTTAACCTTCACCTTTCGCCGGCAAAGGAGTAAAATCTTCAATTTTTTATTTCAATTATCAGCAAAATTTCTACATCCCAATCAGTTCCTGTTTCATTGAATGCTCTCACCTCTTCCTTCACTCGGATTTTTCCCAGAGACTCTGTACTAAACTTCTCCCTCCCTCCTACGACTCACTCCCTCGCAAAACATCCTCACTCCTCCTGTCTTTCTCGCTCTCCCTCGTTCTCCCCTCAACGCCCGGCAAAAGGTAAATGCGCCATGTCTGCCTCTCCAGGTTTACCCACACTCTCTGTCCCCCTCTCCCATAATCCTCGTTCTCTCTTCCACAATCCCATAGCCATACTCCAGACCCTCGGCAGTGCTCGTTCATACTCCAGCGTTTGCCCCGCACTAGGGTGGAGCTTATTCCGCACCGAGGGTGCAGTGTACAACCCCCTTTTGGGTCCACCAGCGGTCTCGAAAATCTACAGCTAAAACGTGTCCCCCAAAGCTGGTACCAGTCGAGAAACTCAAGTGCCAGTGGTCAAATCGTGAGGCTCCCTCTGAGCTTTGACATTTACTTTTTTACAGCCTTTTTTTACAATTCTCATTCAACTATTTTGTGTGGAAACCTGACGTGCAGTGGAATTTTAAAATTATATTAGTCAATAAGTTATCAAAAAATCCAATAAACCAGTGACAATAAATGAAATCAATAAGATTGTGATTTTGACATTTTGCAGTAATTAAAAATACATTTATTATAAATAATGGCACCGATGATTGAGCGTCATGGACGTATCGGTTCCAATGTTGTTCTCGCGAGTGACCCATACGTCGCGAGCTGGCGACAGAAACAGGCACTCCAAAGAAAAACAGTTCGTCTAGTCGAAGGTATACACAAACATAAAATCCGTACATAATTTTCTGCACACCTAAATTAGGTAGTAAATATACAAACACATACACGCACACGTATCCCAGCATGACTGGCCCTCAATGGGAGTTCCGCGAATTCAGTATGAGAAATTGTGTGTAACTGAGAGCCGTCGTCGAGGTGAATTGGCAACGCGAAGAGAAAGAGAGAAAAAATTTCACATGTTAAAAAACGGGATACGACGTTACGGTTTATCAGTGAGAGAAACTCTCACCTCTTGGTGTGACGATGCATGCATCCACGCTGCAGAGAACAGCCCCATCGAGACTGGCTGGGGCCCTTTTGCGTTTTATACCTCTGCCATGTACTTCAATTATACGCAGAATGAAGCTTCATTTTTTCATGAATTATTCACGATAAATTTCCATTGTCAAGAAGTTCGTTAGGACATTGGAATTTTTTTTCACCGAGGGAGAGATGCTCTCTTATCCGCCTCGTTTCCTCCCCCGTCTGGATTTTTTAACTTTTAATGATGTCATGATGGTTGAAAAAAAGGCCATATTTTCATACAGAATTTTTGAAGATGGAATTTCAGAGGTACGAAGTGGAAGGTGCATTTTAAAAAAGTTAGGCTTCTATAGAAACTTGAAATAAAGCGTGTTATTTAGTGATGCCGCGAGACACTTTACGAGACAAAACTTTGGAGAGATGATCTCGTTCTCAATGAACATGGAAATCATTGTTCTCGTCTCAGTCTCGAAATACGCAGTATCGACTCCTCTTGTGATGACTCCGAGTCAATTTATTTCGTCTCGGTCTCAAGTTTTTCGTTTTTTTTTTTAGTATAAAATCTCGGCTTTTGTCTCGGTTTGTCTCGACTCGGTTTTCTACATATAAAAAACGCGAAAAAAATGGAAACAGAGATGAAATAAATTGATTCGGAGTCATCACGAGAGGAGTTGATATTGCGTATTTTGAAACTGAGACAAGAGCAAAGATTTCCATGTTCATTGAGACCGAGATGATCTCTCCAAAGTTTTGTCTTGTAATTTCTCATGAAATGTCTCGTGGCATCACTAGTGCTATTCATCAAATTTCAGTATTGCGCAGCAGCAAGGTGAAATGAGTCCTTTCTGCTTCCGAATGAATGGAGCTTTGTAATCGGTCGGTTTAGTTTTGGATTTTTTGTGTTATATCGACCCAGTATAATCCGAAAGTATAAAAGTCCGAAAATGCAATTGTTAAACCTCGTCCGTACGTGTGTGTACATATGTAACAAAGTTTTTCTTCAATTGTTCCCTAATGAACAGATCGAATTTAATCTTTTTTTGTTTTCAAATGTAGGTATTGTTGAGCCCTATCAATCGCCATTAATTAAAATTTAATTTATCGATTATTTTTTTTAATTATCGAATTTTCTAAATTCCGATAAAAATCGGTTGTCCTACGATAACTAAAGAAAAATGTTCTGAATTGATTGAATGATGACTTGAAAAATTTGTTTGGATGTTCTTTTAACCGAGTTCGTCGATGAAGGCGACAGCAATAATCGTTATTTTGATTTATTTGGAAATTTGCAAAATATTTTGTATTTTTTGAAAATCAGAATTCCGGGGATATCTTTGAATATTATGTTTCAAATGAATTCAATCATAGCTTAAAATGTTGGTTTTAATGCCGCTAAATCGAAGTTAAAAAGTGATTACGATTGCTATATTGGTTGATTTGATTTTTATGATGATTACTGAAAATTTCGATTTTTTCATGAATTTTCTTGAAAGTGAGCTTTCTGATCATTTTATCGAATGTCTGAGGAGAGAGATAGAACTGTAAAAAGAATAATGATCGTGTAATAACATTGAATTAAGTTGAAAATCTGACAAAATTAGTTAAAAAGAAGAAATCTCAATTATTGTGTCAGCTATTGTTGAAAAACAATCTAATTCTACTAATATATTTTTGTAATTAATTAGCAATTTGCTTCCGAACGGAATTTCTATAACGATGGATTTTAAATTGAATTCAGTAATTTATTGAATTCTATTTATGGACAAAGCCTCAATGTTGGCAGACAACATTGCCCCAAAAATATTGACCTCGAAATAATTTTTTTCAACAACAGGCGATGCAATCAATCTCATGATCGAACTCGGTCAAAATGGCATTGGGAAGATATTTGAAAACATAATTAGATTCATTTAAACAACTATTTTTTCAATTATCACCAAAAGACGATCGGTTATATACACACATGCACATACGTAAGTACATACATACATACATCCGGACATGGTCTAAAAATACCATATTCGAACTCCAGCCCGCACGGAAAACACATATATGAGACATATATCAATTACATGTACATATATGTGCACGTAAATATTCAACATATATTTCATATACATCCCCGTGTAGAAAAATTTCTGTCTTTAGAAGGTCTTCTAGAAATCTTGGGAAGAATCTTCGAAAGATTATGTAGAAGATCTGCTTGGTGACCCAAAAAGATTCTTCAGAAGACAAAATCTTCTAAAGACAATTTTAATTTTCGATCCTTACTCCTTTGATCTTTACTTTTTTGACGCTCAAATTACTAAACCCTGAATTTTGGACTTTGAAAATTTTGACCCTTAAAATTTTGTCTTCTGAAGAATCTTTTTGGGTCACCAAGCAGATCTTCTACATAATCTTTCGAAGATTCTTCCCAAAATTTCTAGAAGACCTTCTAAAGACAGAAATTGATCTACACGGGGTCATTTTTTCCAAAAATAAATTTAAAATATATCGTACATATATTCGATATACAGGGTGTCCCAAAATGAAACATCATCCTCGTGAGGATAGTTCGGGGGGCTCATTTGGTGACGAAAACTCTTATAACAATTTTCTCTCCGACGCTTTGTTTAAGAGTTATCAAATAACAAATAATGCGGTCGGGCGGAGGCATTGGATGTCCTATCGATTCTAATCAATCTCATCCCTCGATATCGAATGAGAGAGAAGATATGGATTTTTTACGTGGACTTTGATTTTCAGGGTCACATCGCGTGTTGGATCCAAACGTCGCGGTGATTTTTGTCTCAGTTTTTCTCACCACGTTTTGGCAATAAAGAAAGAAAATCCCTAATAATCTATTGCGCATTGAATGCTCAATCGATTGCCATCTTTTCCATTCGTCCAACTCAAGTGACGGAGAAGATATGGATTTTTCACGGGGTGATGTTTTGCGGCTGAACTTCGTTTTTTTATCAATACGCAGCAAAAACTAATGTCTGAATTTCACACACCTTTTGTAGACATTTTTCAAACCCTAGAAAACGTCTGAATAAAACGAAAATGTGTCTGAATTTCAGACGAACATGTGCCCAAATATCTTAATTCGTGTTCGAAATTCAGAGAAATTTTCATTCTATTCAGACGTTCTTTTTGCGTGAAATTCAGACATTCGTTTTTGCTGTGTAATCTTCAAATAAAGCGTCGGAAAAAAAATGTTATTAAAATTTTCGTCTCCAAACGAGCCCCCCGAATTACCCTCACGAGGATGACATTTCATTTTGGGACACCCTATATAATTGTTCGGATTAGTACATTTCGACACTAGGCCGTGAGGAACTTTTCTGGCGAATATGAGGTTACAGGACGAGCCGAAAGCGAGTTCTGTAATCATATGAGGTAGAAAAGTCCCCACGGCTGTGTATCGAACAATATTTTTTGTCATTAGGCCCGAAAAACGCGATTTAGGGTTAAAATCGCGGTTTATCGGGCCTAGTGGCGAAAACATATTTTTTTCGTGGGGTGAAGCCAACATGATTTATCCTGACACAAACGATTAGAAATTTCGGATTTGACGAATACAATCTCCAAAGATATCCAAATTTACTGCTCTCCTTTCGAACCAGGATACTATAGTGTTACTAGTGCGTGAAGTTCCACTTTTTCACACTCACGTGTAAAACATCATATTTTTTGTGGTACCTGCCGAGTTCACTGTTCGGAACGGTACACTGAGAGAAATATCATCATAATATCACAAAACTAATTTCTTGTGCCAAATATCTCATCTCTTGAGGATAAATTTCTTGGGATAAGAACTCTGGATAATGTGTCAGACAATGCCAGATTTTGGTGAAGTGTTCATGGCTTGGGCATGAACATTTCATGATAAAGTGAGAATTTCTTGCCACAAAAAATCGGTTTTTTCGTGTCAGAAAATGAGAAAATGACTAAAAATAGTAAAAGCTCCGATTCAGTGAATCATGAATGAGAGACTTTCATATTGAATAAATAGAGAGTTTATGCAGAGGAAAACCTCTAGATCGAAAATATCTTCTTTTCCTTCTGTTAAACTATTCTTGCCTTTTGAGGAATATTATTTCATTTCGAAAAAAAACATCACCTTTTCATTCAGTAACTTTCTTAGCCCGAAGAGTACCGATGGTTTTCGCTCAAGAAATTATTTTTGCGATATTATGTCGATTTTTCTCTTACCCGAGTAGAAATTTCGTCGGGAGCCCCTAACGTTCATTGGGAACCTATGAGTTTGTTGCGGGTTACTGACTCGTAGGTTGTACCTGACGTGTAACCCGTAGGTTCCAAACGCAACAATATTCGTAGGGACGATTATTGTCGGTTACAGATGAGTTCACCACCGATTACTAACTCACGTAGCTCAACCCGTTTGTAACTTATTTGTCCCTTATAAAGTGTTAACGGCATTCAATTATCCAAGTCCAGCCGGGCATAACTGGTCGAGAACTCATCAGTACACTGAATAAGGGTCAAAATCAACAGTCAGAAATGAAGGTCAAAAATAAGGATCAGAAATAAACGTCAGAAATACGGGTCATGAGGGTCACAAATGGGGATAAACAATAGACGTCAGAAATAAGGGTTACGAGGGTCAGAAATGAGAGTCAAAAATACACGTCAGAAATAGGGGTCATGAGGGTCAAAAATGGGGATAAACAATAGACGTCAGAAATAAGGGTCACGAGGGTCAGAATGGAAAGTCAAAATTGAGGGTCTCAAGGGTCAGGAATAAGGTTCATTAATAAGGGCCAGCAATAATGGTCGGAAATAAAGATAAAAAATAAGGGTCAGAATTAAGGTTTAGGCATAATAATCATAAGTCAATCGTCAGAGAATAAGAATGCTCGCCTTATCTGGCATGTCGGAATGTTATATTCCCAAGAATTACAGGATAGTGGACTTGGACTTCAGCACAGCAGACGATCATCAAAGTTAAGTAACATCGAGTACGGTTCGGAATTGGATGGGCGACCACTCACCGAAAATGTGATTTTTTTTTCTTTTTCTGCGTATATAAATCAATTCTTATCATTGGGCATGCTTTTTCATGGCAATTAATGAGTTATTCATCATTGACAAATTGTTAATAATAATTAGATGAATAAATAATCATGCGGGTTTTTGATGGGTTACATACGTGTAACTTGTGAGGTAATTGCGTGACGTTTCCGTGAGTTCCTTGTAGATTGAAACCTATGTGGAACCGGTGACCATGTCGGTTGCAACGGATAGATAACTGATGATAAACCGACGAAATTTCTACTCGGGTAGTGTAGTGGGGGTAATGTGGTTGTTTTTCTGTACACGGAGAGAAATATTCAATAAAAATTACGTATCTTTTCCGTAATCCCGGAGCGAAATGTGGTTGTAAGAAATTTTATGGAACTGACACGGAATTTTTCCGGAGCGTTCCGTAATTTTTATCTGAATCTCTTGTGAAAAATTACGATCGCGTCACTTAAATTTTTTGAGTCGATTCCGTAATCGGTGAGTGAAGTGAGAGTTCCGTAATTTTTACTGAATATTTCTCTCCGTGTACGAGCATTCACTTTACACACGCCGTGCGAAAAACAACCGCTTTACGCACACTAAACCGTTTTGAAAATTGCACTTTTAAGGCAGGTATCACAAAAAAAATCATCAGATACCTCCAGATTTCCAATCAATAAAATTATTCTTTGCTTTGAACTTAGGTCACTGTGCCCCATCAGACACCGTGGACCTGAATTACAGCCATCACTTGGACCATCAAAATAATAACAATTCACACCTAAACAACAACAACGAGGATCCCTCGATAAATTCACATCAGCACAATTGCTTGGGCAATCCACCACAGGGCGGTGTAATGAAGGAGAAGAGTAAGAACGCAGCGCGTTCGAGACGCGAGAAAGAAAACACAGAGTTCCAAGAGCTCGCTAAGTTATTACCACTGCCAGCAGCAACGACCTCGCAATTGGACAAAGCAAGTGTCATAAGATTGACGACAAGTTACCTCAAGATGCGCGCGGTATTTCCAAACGGTAAGGAGACCAACCACGGTGATACCTTGTTATTCAATTCATTAGGACTCCTTTCATTCTCTCAAACGCCTCTTCACTATGAAATGACAATCGATAGGATACACGACACTTTTTTAGTTGGGTAAAGGGCAAATAGTATCGGATGAGATGGCTGTGATTGCGCACTTGATGCATTGTTAGTTTTTTTTTTTCCACCCTCCCGCCACACATACAGTGTGCTTTGTAAGCAAAGCATGGGGGCTGTTGTAAAAGCGGTTACAATAGCACTGTGTCCCATCCTTTTTGTCGCGCCCTCTTATTCCTATGCCACTTATTCCAACCTTGTAGACCGGCCTTACACGTCGTTTCAACTTCAAAACCCCAATTGAATTTCAAGTGGCCGCATCCCTCCGGAATAAACCAACAACCACCAGACACAAATGCGTCTTTATACTTTTATAAGTTCGATTTAATGTACCTTTTTTGGAGAGTTTTGGGTGTCTACTTTTGTCATGACTATATTAGATAATCTGTCGCTTCTCTTTTGTGGTATTTATGTGAGAATTACGCTGTTAAAAATTTTTGTCTGAATTTTTCATGCCAAATTTCGGAAATTTTTATCGTGTTCAAGTTCCACTGAAATTTCAGGAAATCTTGTCATTGAAGAATCAAATATTCCATTGATTTTCTGTTCAAATGATCTGAAAATCAATACAATACTTGATTTTTCAGTTCAATTCAGTAGCGAAGTGGTAAAAGGGTTTACGTCGACTTATCTCCCAGTTGAATTTTTGAGAAATATTTCCGAATCTAAGGCAGATAGCGAAATTTTCGTAATTACATTTGTTGTAGCACTCCATCGGCTCCACAAAAAAAGTTATAACAAAAATTTTGCCATCTCCCTTAGATTCCGAGATATTCCTCGAAAACTGGTCAAGACTCAAAATTGACTTGTACCGTTTTACCACTTCACTACTGAATTATTCTGTAAAAATTCATAAAAATCAAGAAGATGCAGAAAAAAATTGAAAATTCATATCATTTTGTTTCTGATAATTCATGTTCCACTGAAAATTCATGAATTTCCTTGAATTCTATATAGAACTTGAACTTTCATAACCATTTTTTCCCTAAATCCGATTCCATATCAATCTCACGAGAATTACTATCATATTTTCCATGAAATTTTAAAAGATTTCTAACAGTATAATTCGGGAATAAGAGAATGTCTACATATTCCGCAGTTAGAAATTTATTGAAATTCGATTGAGGGGGAATTGATGGACGTTGGAAAATTATCCCTTTTCCAAATAAAACTTTGGAAAAAATGCAGGAAAATGATTGCCAATAATGATAAAACGCAAAAACGGTACACACAAAAAAACTTAAACGTAAATTACGTTTAAGAAGTCGTCTTTAACGCTTGAAGTTGAAGCGCAAATTACGCTTAAAGTCGCCGTAAATTACGATTACATAAACGTAATTCGTGACGATTATGAGCGTAATTTTTCTTGCGAAATCGATTTCGCGATCGTAAATTTCGCTCAAAATCGTCGTAAATTAAGATGGTTTTTTCGTATTTTTGATAAACGTAATTGACGCTTTGCTAAACGTAAATTACGTTTTAATAAACGTAAAATACGCTTTGTATAGGCGTAATTAACGTCTTTATTTTGTGCGTAGAATACGTTTTTTTAAAGCCTTAATTCCGATTTTCATGACGGAAAAAAATCCACCAGACATCACATTGACGTTAATTGACATTAAGTGTAAATTACGTTTATCAAAACGTAATTTACGTTTAGCTTTTTTTGTGTGTATATTATTTAGCGTCAATCCGATCAATAATTTGTCAGAAAAATGAAAAAAACGTGAATTTTGTCCGAAAGGGTGTAGTACATCCTTAAATCGAGAATATACCTTAAATATTTTAAGGATAATTTTTCCGCCCATTTTACGTGAATGGCGCAATTTGTTATATTAAACAAAACAAAATTACCTGTGTAGGAGTCGAATTTCAAAAAACTAATTCGTAATTGTTATTGTACACATTTTTTTAAAAATCTTGAAAAATAAAACCTCTGTAACTAAAAATTGGAGGCCCTGGACTATTTCTAACATTGTAAGCGTCTGCGGGGCAAACGAACAATAAACAATTAATTTTTTGCACTAATTATTCGTTTTTAGACATATACAATCGATCTTCAATGCATGAGAAATCACTCCAATCGCCCGCCACTTTTAAAACTCACAGTAGTTTCTCCTTATAAATTCTGCTTTTCAACATATTTTCCTTAAAAATCCAAACCGGTCGTTGAATTGAGAAAAATCCATGATTCCGCACCTAATCGAGTTTTCTGGAAATTCTTTGCAGTTCTTGAACATCTTCAAATTTGTGTAACGATAGAGTTACTTTAACACACAATTTTCGGGGTGATTTCTGCAGGTTTAGGAACAGAATGGGGAGCTCCGACACCAGCGATCAATGATCCGCGAGACGCTGCGATAAAAGAACTAGGATCTTACCTCCTCCAAGTACGTCAAGGATCAAACTATCAACTGTCCAATCAAATCCTTCAAAACTCAATAAAAAAAATGTTCAACTCTCTTCTACTGTTTTTAGACTCTGGATGGCTTCATCTTCGTCGTAGCTCCAGACGGTAAAATAATGTACATAAGTGAAACAGCAAGTGTCCACCTGGGTCTGTCACAAGTCGAATTGACCGGAAACAGTATCTTCGAGTACATTCACCCTATAGATCACAACGAGATGCTCGATGTTTTGAGCTTACCCCTACCCGGTTCAGGTCGTGCCTTTCCCCCTCCCAATGCGCGCGGTAACATCGAGCTTGAGCGTGCCTTCTTCCTCAGAATGAAGTGCGTTTTGGCGAAGAGAAATGCTGGATTAGTAACATCAGGATGGAAGGTAAGAAATCACTTTCATCCCCTTGCTTACAACCCTCCGATTTCTGGAAAAATCGTAGCCATAAATTGGGGGAAGGGGCGGGGGCAAATTACATGTCATTAGGAATGGGGTGATTGAGCGCGGAGGGGCAAGTGTTTACTGAGCCAAATTGCTGAACATATGCTCAAGCTTTTTGTATCTGTAGTGATCCAATTCTATAGCCAATTGAATTAATTCATACGAATGATTTAGAATAATCAAAGGTCTTTGTGGCTGGCTCCACATGCGTCAGAGTTGACACTTGAGAGACATTCTCGTCACTGCATAAAAAATCTGCCTAACAAATTAATTCCATATCCGTCATCACACGAGTACACCCTGGAATTGGTAATTTTTTTTATGGTCAAGTGCCACTTGCTTCACTTGTTCTTATTCCACAGTAGGTGCAAAGAGAAATTGCAGAATGCATTCTGGGTAATACGAGGCGTTGAAATCTTCACGTATCTGTGATGCAGATGCACATGCAAATTATCACTAGTGTCACTAGCTTTTATCCCCTTTTCCAATTACGCGTCTTGTTATTCCCCTTTATTCTTGGAAATTGCTAATTTTCAAGCACTTTTTCGCCACCCTGCATTTTCACTGGATTCTAATGAAATTATTAACTCTATGCAACTCGTCAATTTAAATGCAGGATTTTTTTACGGGTTGCATTCGTGTGAGAGAATGCGGGGTGAAATGGAGAGTTTTTAATTTTCAAGAAGTATCCGTAGCTCTGAAGTAATGAATGTGGGGAAAATGAAGGTACACATGTCAATAGAAATGTAAATATACAGGAGAATAAGGAGGAAAGGCGCAGCAGAAGCGGTGTCGCTACGAGCGTCAATAACTCGCAAGACGCAGAATGAAATTCAACTCTCCACTCTGTTTTCATCTCCACGGAGAGAGAAATTTAACAATAATTCAGTAGCGACGCGGTAAAACCGTTCAAGTCGATTTTGGCTATTGACCAGTTTTCAATGAATATCTCGAAATCCAAGGGGGATAGCAAAATTTTTGTCACCACCTTTTCTCTAGCCGTTAATTTGCTCTATACAAAAGGTTTTTACAAAAATTTCGTTATTTGCCTTAGATTTGGAAATATTCCTCGAAAACTCAGCTAAGGGTTAAATCAACTTAAACCGTTTTACCGCTGCACTCCTGAATTACCCTATCGTTTTATAAAAGGGTGTACCATGAGTCATTTACTTCATATTTAAATCAATGAATTCTATGAAAATGGAATGATAAATAATAAAATTGGATTATAATTTCCGTGAAACCAGGGATGCGAAATGACGTCACGTTTTGAAATCTGTCAGGTTACAAAAATATGACGGTCATGTGACGTCACGTTTTTTCATGTCATAATTTGGGTCACACTGTCGACTCACATATGATAATCAACTCGTTAGATGTAATGTGACCGTCATAAATTTGTCTGTTACAAAATCTTGTCACAAATTTTCAAACTGCACCGGTTTTTCGGGCAAGCGTTTACTTGCTAAATGCGCCCATCGTCTGAAGGCCTTCAGGGAAAGAATGCTGAATGTGGAATGAATTTTTCAGTTGAAAATTTCCGTAGAGTATCCGCTTTCGAAACTGTGTGTAATTTTCAGATGAATATCATGTCAAAAATTGTGATGAAAAATTGGTGCGAAATCATTTATTTTATTCATTGATTTCAACTGTTCGACCATTCCCAGTGAGAAAAATCACACTTAGTCAATAAACTCGCCACTGATTTTTCTTTTCTAAACTGAAATACAACTGACGCGCATGTTGACGCTTTGTGATTGTTCACTGATGGAGGGAATCATGGGGAATTTTCGAATTTCGAACTAGTTGCCTCCACCTGGGGTGCCACTAATTAGATGGGATGTGACGGTCACGGGGTAAAACAGTCACGTTTGTCTCATGTAACAATAAATTGTCATGGTTGGCCATGTCACATGACCGTCACTGACGTGTCATGTAATTTTTTCGCATTCCTGCACGGAAAGAAATATTCAATAAAAATTACGTATCTTTTTCGTAATTCCGGAGCGAAATGTGGTTGTAGGAAATTTTACGCAACTGTCACGGAATTTTTCCAGAGCGTTCCGTAATTTTTATGTGAATCTCCGGTGAAAAATTACGATACCGTCACTTAAATTTTCTGAGTGGATTCCGTAATCGGTGAGAGAATTGTGAGTTCCGTAATTTTTACTGAACATTTCTCTCCGTGTGCATGGAACACATGATAATTTCAAGAGGGAACTACAACTTTCTTGCCGAAAACTGTGTTATGGGCAGAACTAAATAATTTCGAGGGGACAATTGTTACATCTCTCTCCCCTAATTTTTCTCTTCCTCAGGTGATTCACTGCTCTGGCTATTTAAAAGTCATTGCCCGTGGTCCTTCCTACGAGGAGTACCAAACAATCGGTCTGGTTGCCGTAGGTCACTCCCTGCCGCCCTCGGCAATAACGGAGATAAAACTTCATCACAATATGTTCATGTTCCGCGCATCGCTGGATTTCAAACTCATATTTCTCGATGTCAGGTATGTAGAAAAAATCATTTAAAAAAATGTACACATAAGTGAGGGTGAAATCCACCGGGATAGTTGATTTTTTTCGTTTATTACCAGTCTCCAATTACACCGCGTAAATTACAATGGGGAAAATCTTGATGGACAGCCATTAAAATGCGTTTCAAGTTACCCAGTTCGATATACACCCACTGCGTATTATTACAAATTCTTTTTTGTCTCCCATTTTTTTATTTCATCAACACCCAGAGTAAATAAATCCGTCGCAGCGGCGTTGAAATGAAAACGATATCCACTGGGAACAGCGTCATGTGCTTCGTTATGTGTATTACGTCGTCAGAAAAAAAGGAAAATTGGAATGACAAAAAAAATGACTAAATAAAGACCATATCTGATTTCAGTGTGAAAGACCTTACGGGCTATGACCCCCAGGATTTAATCGAGAAAACACTGTACCATTACGTTCACGGATGCGACATTTGGCACCTTCGAGAGTCACATCAGATACGTAAGTGAAATACATGAATTCATTTTTTCAACAAAAACGAACGCAATCAAGTCGTTTATACGTCTGGATAGAGCCCGTGTAGTAAAGTTTCATAATTTAATATTTAGTACATAGAACGTAAAAGAGGGAGACTGAATGCGGTATGCGCTATCATTGTTTGAACAGACCCGCAGTTTGACGAGCGTTAATCGGTCGAGCTCTCACTTCACCCCCTCTTTCCCTCAACCATTTTCGTCCCCCCTGTCTCCCTTCCGCGAACAAATCCTCCGTAATGTCCTGCACGTGCTGCTTCCAGATCCGGAATATTAGAGATTTTGTTTTTGTTTTTTCAAGTTGAACTTCTATTTGTTGGTGTCTATTGTTCGATTATGTTAGAGTAAACTATTCAGATTTTTTGAGTAAAGATGTAAAAATATTTGGCTTCGCTCAATGTTGACAAGCGGGATTACATTCGTTGCAGAAATAGTTTATTTGTTAATTGCAAAGCTCGGAAAATTCAGGTGATTCTGTTCTAAATTAATTGATTTTTTTGTGTTGGAGAATTTGCTAACATAGTGATAGAACGATTTTAGCGGGATGTGAAATATTTGGTAATTAGGCATTGGCCTCGGTATACTCGTTATATCTCAGCGATCATCGAAAAAAGCGGATACTTCCGCTTCGCGGGAGGTAAAAATCTGACTTTGCGCCTCCGCCGTGATGGAAAATAACGTCCTGATCTCGGGAGGTTAAATAATAGTATATTTCGCGTCGCATATACAACCCCTCTGGCACTAGGCGCAAGCGATATTTTTCCGTAGTGACTTTGACTTTTGGCAGTTCGCGGAAGGGTCAATACCAATCCCCGGACTGGGAAAAGAGAAGCTGAGTACGGAATAGTATTTTTCATGACGCTGTGACGAAAAGTGAACTTTTCGGCACGCTCCGCGTGCCTAAAAGTCCAATTTCCGCCACATTGTGATGAAAAATATTGTTCGTAACTCGTGAAAAAATGTTTACACTTTTTTGCACTCGTTACGAAATATACTATTTCCGGCCTGTTGCGATGGGGTTTTTTACTCGTGTGGCGTTGGCCTCCGAGCCGTAGGCGAGAACTGGCCAACCACAGGAGTAAAAAAACCCCATTGCAACAGCCCAGGAACAATATTTTTCTGTAGTGATTTTCAAGTTTTCGAGTTTGGGAAGTATGTAATACCAATTCTCAGATGAGAAATCGTGAGAAGCAGTACAGAAAAATTTGTTTTCGGTCGAGTGACGAACATAATTTTTCTTCACAATGTCCGTAACCGGCGTTTGACGGACACAAAGTGTCCGAACGTCGTTGTGATGAAATAGTATATTTCGTAACGAGTGCAAAAAAGCTAAAAAACATTTTTTCACGAGTTACGAACAATATTTTTCATCACAATGTGGCGGAAATTGGACTTTTAGGCACGCGGAGCGTGCCGAAAAGTTCACTTTTCGTCTCAGCGTGATGAAAAAATATGTACTAATATCCAATTTTCCTCCTATGATTCCAGTATTAATGAAAAGTCAAGTAACAACAAAATACTACAGATTCCTAACGAAATCGGGGGGCTGGGTATGGATGCAATCCTACGTGACAATAGTTAACAACTCCAGGAGTTCAAGACCACAATGTATAGTATCCGTAAACTACGTACTATCCGATAAGGAGGCAGAACACTTGGTTCTAAACTCGGAACAGAAAGCATCAACAATACCTGGAAATCAGCCATCAGCTCCTCTGTCATCAAACTGCGGTATATCTCGAGACATGGCTGTTGAGGAGTCACAATGCAGTCCAAGTCCACCGTATCTTCAGCGTGCTAGTGAACCCCAGGTGGTTGACTTTGCTGAGACAGCGTATTCTAACTCGGGTGAATACATGCCACCGGGGCATATGAATCATTATCAGGCGAGTTATCCGACGGCTCAAAATACTCCACATCAAGGCTCTGGTCCAGGGGGTGGAGGGAGCATTCATGAGGATACTACTAATTATTACCCATTGGAACTTTTTTACCAATATGCTGGTGAGTTTGGAAGAAAACAATTTTTCATAAGTTACATTGATAGTTTCATTTATACTGAGGCATTACCCCCAACTTTCCTTCTAATTTGATGACTTGTTGAATCTCTGGTTGAAACAATACGAAGTAAAACTAATATTATATTTTTCTCCACGCACGAAAAAATTTAATAGAAAAACCTATCGAATTCGTCAGAAAATTCTATTGAATTACTGTTAAACTTTCTGTTAGTTTTTGGCTGATTCTATTGACATGTTCAGTAGAAAACATTCAATGGAAAAAGTAAACAGAATTCGATTTTTCTATATAACTTATTCTTTTTATATATTTTCTATAGAATTTGCTCGACTCAAATTTTCTAAGTTTTTTTCATTCAGTATAAGGTAAAAAAAGTAATTATGCTGAGTATTTTTCAAAAAATTAAGGGATATGAATATTCTCTGTTTCTACGACCGATTTAAATCTCTGGAAATCAACAAAATACGGACAGAGTTAATCAGCAATGTTTTAACATTTAAGGCCCGGGTGTAATATCTCATGAACATGATCTTGATTGCTTCTTTATTTTTTGCATTGGAGTCCTCAAAAATTGTAATTGTGCAATACAATCAGAGTAGAAAAAGCACTGAAAATTTCCAAAGACAGTTTAAAAATAATATTGGAAAATTAATCGAATAGAAATGAAATTGTAAATTAATAATTTGCCGTATTAATGGCTGTCAGATCGTCAATTGCCGTGATTAACCAACCATTTGCAACCTCTTCCTTATGCTAAATGCTACTTGAAGATGTTCATTTTTTTGTCTACTTTTTTGATTGTACGATTATAATTTTTGGGAACTCCAGCACCATGGCACCATTCAATGGCAATTGGAGAATATTTTAGCTTATAAAGATGGCGAATTAATCCAGATAACGTTCAAAAGATGACTCATCCGGGCCTTGAAGGCGATTATTCAACATAATAGGGTAGTTTAACAGAATAACAACAATATAATTATATTGTAAAAGATGAGCCCATTCAATAATAATTATTAGTTTATTAAAGGAATTGGGGCGAAAGAAATAACAAATAAAGAAATGGCGCGTGCGTGGACTACGGCTAAAGATGAAAGAATAACGAGATCGAAAGCGACGACTATATATAAAGGTTGTCGAGAGGGAGGTAAATAACAAATACGCAACAATTAGTCTATTTCATCATTAGGCCGAAAAAAACTTTTTTTGCGAATACGAGTTTGCAGCCCGAGCCAAATCCGATTGCGAGGCCTGCAATCATATGAGCTAGAAAAGTTTTTTTCGACCGTTTGACGAAGAATATTTTTTGTCATAATGGCCGTAGGCAGTGATTCGCGGCCGCAATGACAAAAATACAAATTCAGTTAGTTTCAGTCGTAGCCTCAGCCCTTGAGCTCTTACAAATATCATATGCGATTGTCTTTAATTCAGACAACATAGGGATAATTTATCAGATACGCAGCAAGAAAATAAACGAGTCAATTTTCCATAGTTACATTACTTTATTTCTACTGAGGCATAACTCCAAACTCTTGTCTCGACTCCATGATTCCCTATAAATTTTCGCCAGTCCTTCCATTGTAGAATTACACTGAATTAATTCCAATCATCAATGAATTTTCAGCAATGACCCCCGACGGTCATGCAGGGCCTCAAGCTCACCTGTTGCACCACAACAATCAGACCATCCCACAACCCCAAGCCCAGCAGCACCCAAACAGCCCCCAGCACCACCACCAGCAGAAGAAGCCCCCCTACTCCTCCCCCTCGAGTTCCTGCGGTAGTTACGACGTTCCTGACACCTGTGGACACTTATCAAGCCCCCTAGCCAACAACAGCCCCTACCAACCAAACATCCCTCACAACAATCACCTTCACCACTGTCACCAAATGCTGGACGATCACTCATCACCGCCGGAGGCCTACACCGACACAGCCGTTGGCTACGTCCACCCAAGCTGTGCATTCAACGACAACAACAACTCGTGTTTCGTTGGTAATGGAGGAAACTCGACTATGCAAAACCACCACCCCCATCATCCCCATCAGACATACTCACCTACACCAGGAACGAGTCATCATCACGTTGTAGACTTGCGGCACGTGGAAACTCCAATTTACACGAGTGTCATAGTAGAATCTCACCAGTACAACTCAAGTAGTGTTGCAAGTATACATCAGAGTGTTCATGGCCATCAACAGGGTGTTGTCAAAGGGGATTCACCAGGTGATGCAGCCACATCTGTTACAACAGCCCCGGGCAATTCTCCAACGCCTAACAATACAACTTTTACTGCAACACCCCTCACAACCTCGGTAACTACTTCAAAATCTGAGCCTGTTTCGCCAGTCTCTAATGGAAGCAAGTGTGAGGCCGTGAATCTCATTGGAAAGAGCGCAATCTGTCAGGACAGAAATGACTTCACAATGTACTCAAAGTGCGATGACAAGAGTGTTCATGATCGCCAGGGCCTCACCAAGTACTCATTTATCGCGGGATTCTCGGGGACGTAATCGATTGATTCGTTTTATCGTGTTATTTATTAGGTTGTAAATTATAGGTAAAAGAGTGAAAATGTACGAAGTTGGAAAATATCTCGCGCTGGCCGTGGGTGCAAGACATCCGACGTTAAACTCGAGTCACTAATTTGTATTTAGGAAAATTGAGGATTAACGATAAATTATGATGTACATACGAAATTGGTGATGATTAGATTATATTTATGTACTTAGGTATTATGTCATTTTTTTTTTGTTTATTTAAGTTTATCATTCTAGTTATGAGACTTTGATTGAATCCTTAGAGTATTCGTTTTATTAATTTCGATAAAAATTCCAAGACTGACGGATCAACGAGTTAAATGACCAAAGAGCCATCGATTTGCAATTCTTCATCACAGGGTCCAAAAATGTAATAGACGAACTACATCGCAGAGACGTATTTTGTGATAGCGTAATCTACGTTTCTGATGATGGAAATTTCACGGAAAATTAGTTTGTATTTAAAATTGAAGTGAATCTCGTTTATAGAGGAAAATAAAACTAGATTTGCATGAGTTCAATACGATAAATCATCTGCATCCTATATCCACAATTAATTGCGTAAATCAAGGAATATTTAGTTTATAGATGAATGTAAATAATGTAAATGATAATCGTGCATTAATACCTGTATTATTTAAATGAAAAATACACGATATATTTTTGTTCAAAATCATTAGTACAACTGAGTGATAGTTACGGATGATCAGTGGCGAAGGAGGGGGGAAACAATAACTGAAATAATTGCTTTGTATATGAATCCTAGCTACCGTGACTCGGCAGTGGTCACGATTGAATAGCGCCTGAAGAAAGAAATAAAAAGTCCATGGCGCCCGTGCCAAACCAGCATGGGGTTTGTTTGACACTGGTTTCAGCCACGTGGCATCATCGCCCAATTGTTCACTCGTCTCTCCTGCATCCCAAGGCCCGTCTGATTTTCAAGGCGGACAGACGGTTTTTTTTTGTATTTCTGAAGCAATGAAACCAATGATGACAGCCAAGTCACTGGTAATCATCCCTATTAAATTGCACTGAGGGCATTGTCGGTAATTGGTAGGAAAATAAATGCCAGGAATTGTCGCCCCTGAGGCCGTTTTTATACGTTCATGTGAATTCATGTGAACTGAAGGGCACGCGACTTCTTACATTCAATCTCAGGGGGTGTAATTTCTTTGTTTATTCTTCATAGGTTTCTATTATTATACGGGGGATAAATAAATTGTTCTTTCATCAGTAAGATTTTTTTTTTGAGAATGCAAGATCCCAATTAAGGCCCGAATGGACTATCTTTCGAACGTTATCTCGATTATTTTTTCATCTTCATAATCTTAAATATATCACAATTTCCACTGGGTTTTACATCACACAGGTGTCCCTAAAAATTGCGATTGCTCAATAAAAAAAGTAGAAAAAAACTGAACATTTTCGAAGAGCATTTTTAACACTCCGTTTGTCGCGCTATGAGCGCCGCGCCGCTTTTTTTCCGATTTTTTAAATTACACTGCAGTAAAGCCTCAGAAAAATTTGAAACATTTTGACATCTCATTTTGAACTGCTTGGAAGACCTATCAACGAAAATATCCGCTAAAAATATCATAAGTAGTTGGGTTTTCAAATTTTTATTCCGAAACTCCGGGCCGTGTACCGTGTATGAGGTGAATTTTCAGAAAAACATGGCAGCTTTTAGCTTGAATATATAATTAAGGGTAACAGTGAACATGATAAATCTCAGGGGACTTCTTCAAGTATACGATGTAGATGACTCTTGATTTTTTTAGATTTTTCCTAGATCTTTCAAATTTATCATTATGTCGATTTATGCTGGTGCGGCGCTTATGGCGCGACCAACGGAGTGTTGATAAAGATTAGGAAATAAGTCCGACAGAGAGGAAATTGTAAATGGATAATTTATCATGGCAACTAACGATTTGACAGGCATTGGCTACTGAGACAAATGACGACTGAACAGCCATTACACTGGTAGACTGATTCATTTATTCCAAACGAGATTCATTAATTATTAACGAATGGTAGAGTTGAATATGACCAAATGAATATTCGTTGATAGTTAACGAATGGTTCACTTGAAAAGTGAAAATCGAATCAAATAAGGCTCTTCAAATGTGCATTTGTTAATTATTAAAGAATGAACATTTGGTGAAACCAAATAGACCCTCGTCTCCAACCAAATCCATTCGTTAACAATAACTAATTCTTTCTATCAGTGTAGATACTGTAAATTATTAATTTGCAATTTCCTCTCTACTGGGTTTATTTCCCAATACTATTCAAAAACGCTCTTTGACAATGTTCAGTTTTTTTCAACGTTTTTTTGATTGTACAATCATAATTTGTGGGGATCTACATGAAAAGGGCCCACTTTGTCGGTTTGGAGTTACGTATATTCCGATAATCTTAGTGAGATTCCTCACATTTTGAGCCCAAAATTAACACGATAGTATGAAAAATGACGTCAGTACAGAAGATCAAAAAATCAGTTTAACACTGGTTTAAATGGAAGGTGTGAACACAAAAACGTGAATATCTCGCAAAATATATGCGACAAAGTGGTCCCTTTTCACGTGCTATGTAAAACTGAATTGCAATTGAAGAACATTTCATATTATCAAAATAAAAAAAAACAACATCACGTTCGAAAGATAATACGCGCGGGCCTTAAATGGAAGAGTTCTCTTTTATTTTATTTCAGTTTTATACATATGTAACAGCATAGAACCAATTACAGGATCAAATTTATTAGTGTAAAAGACAAAATTTTCAGGGGCCGGTTGCACCAACCCCTTCTATGCATACAAACCCTAGGGTATAATTTATTCTCGCGCTGAAGTATATTCCAGGGCCCGTCAATTTAGAATATTTAACCTGAAGGATAATTTTTTATTTATTGTGTAGCCTCATTTGAGTTAACGCTGATTTGACCCTGAGATTCATTAATTTGCTTCCTTTCGGGGCGAATTTTGGATATCTCGGTGGTAAAATTATCCATCGTACTTCCAAATTGACATTTTTTAATTTAAATTTTTTTAAACTGACGACTTAGGACCGGTTGCACCTGTTAGACAAATAAATCGTCAGAATAGATTTATGTCGGGAATATTGACTAAATACTTCATAATTAGTGGCGTTATTGGCAAATCGTGATAATACATCAGTACACCACGGTTTTTGGTGAAATACCTTCGATGAACTTTCGATCAAAATTGACCGGCAGATTATTTTTACTAGTGTGTTTAGTGGACTTACGGCGGTCTAATTTTTTTCGTTGGAGTCGATATTTAGACGATAACTGCTGGAAAATTGTAGAATATTCTGGAATTGAAGCACCTAGAGAGTGCATCAATGATGGAAGGGTCTGGTAGGTAAATTCTCAAATCAATCGAGAAGTTGTTATAAATTTTTATAAATTTTGAGGGGATTTGAGCATAGTTTGGGATATGCGAAGAAAAAAACCAAGCTCGGAAAAATCGAGGGCTTTCTAGACGATTCATGAATTTCCCAGAGAATTCTACATTGTTCTGGATCTTTCTGAAACTTTCTAGAAACTTCCAAATTATATAGAGTGATTTATTTATTTCGATACTTAACTAAGGATTTCGATACAAATTTATTTCGATACTTAACTCAGGATTTTCTTGTGGGCTTGGTGCAACCGGGTCTTAGTTAATTAAAACTAGTAAACTCGGCCCTAACTATGAATTAGACTACTATCTTACAAGGCAAAGTATTCATGGCGGACAGTATTTACAATACTCGAAGTTTACCTTAGTTAAATTAATCAATTCTCTCATATTTATAATTAGTTCAACTATCCTACCTAATTTACATTATCAGTTTCTGAAGTTCAATATTTCTATTATTCATTTATCGATTTCTTCTTGAGAATTGTACAAGTTTGTTGCCAATTTCTTTGGAAAATTTCTACCCCTTCTCAATATGTTTATTTTTCGATTAAGGGGAGACTACTATGAGTTGTAAAAGTTGCGGGCTATTCGAATGCCATTTCTCATACATTGAAGATCGATTATATATGTCCAAAAATGAATAATTAGTGCAAAAAAATTAATTGTTTATTGTTCATTTGTCCCGCAGACGCTTAAAATATTGAAAATAGTCCAGGGCCTCCAATTTTTGAGCTCTGTGACTTTCTTTTTTTTCAAAATTTTTGAAAAAATGTGTACAATAACAATTACGAATTAGTTTTTTTTAATTCAACTCCTCCAATTGAAAGCCCTGGACTATTTTTAGCAAACGAACAATAAACACTTAATTTTTTTGCACTAATTATTCGTTTTTAGCCATATATAATCGATCTTCAATCTTCAATCGATCCTTCAATCGATCTTCAATCGATCTCATAGTACTTAGAGATGCAAAATGACCGTCATTTTTTAGATCGCGTCATATAACCAAAAAATGACGGTCTTGTGACGGTCATGTGACGCAGAAATTTTCTAACTACAAATGAGTGTCACAAATCATTTGTAACTAAATTGTTGTCAAACCATCTGTATAGTTGCATCATGACGCTCATAACTAATTTCCAATTTGTGACGGTCATGAATAAAACAAAATAGTTTCATCTATATGGCTGGAAAAAAATCGTGATTTCCATTTCAAAGTGCGGATTAGGCCAATACAAAAGGAATTCAACTGAAAATTGACCGAGAAAAAAATAAAGTTTCATCTATATAGATGAAAAATGATTGTCATTTTTTCTTGACAAGTTGTGACGGTCACAGAAGGGGGAGGGGGAATTGTGACAACCGTCGTGAACGCCTCGTCATGTGACGGTCATGTGACCGTCAATGACGGTCATGTGACGCATTTGCATCTCTAATAGTAGTCTCCCCTTAAGAAATATTGAGTGAAAAAAAATCAATAGATTGTCATTTTATCAAAAAAATTACTGTAGTATCATTGAAATATAGAAAAGAAGAAACTTGGAAAATTCATACCGAGGAATTTCCGTAGAAAACAGACATTTTCATACATCATTTGCATTTTGTAACTAAAATGGACTTTTCGGTGTTGGCGGAAAATTAGCTTTTCCGTGATTCCACTTTAAGCGCCTTTGGCGGCTTAACGATTGAAATTAGGAAAATACCGCCATTGACTTTTTTGTAGGAAAGTTAATGCTCTACAAATCATGTCCTATGTATTTTTATCCTACCTACTGCGGTTTCGCCAGCGTAAAGCGAAAATGGTCGTGTAGATGCTTAATTTTGCAGTTTAGAATTTTGTTAAACAATCTCCGGGTCCGCTAAAATCCCAAAAAATTAATATGCGTTTAATATCATTTTTCCGCATGATAGCTATGGTTTTTATCCTTCCTCCATCACCTTTGATTTCAGCGAAAATAAGGTCCTTATTTAACTAGCCTAAAAGAAGCGATAGGATCCCTCAGAAATCCATACTTGAGTTTTTCCATACATAAATAATTCGCAGACTTTTTTCCATTTGAAATGAAAGTAAAATTATTCAATTCTTGTTCTCTCATACCAGGAGTGAATGCTCGATTCTCATATATCCCTTCCCAATATGAAAAAAAATCTCACCATAGTTATGACTACTAATCCACCTAAATTCCACGAAAATAAAGGGGGGTACGCTCAAAGTAAACACTTGACAGGTTGCGTGCACTGTGAAAGCATTGTTGGCGAGTAAGGGGGATTCTCCTGAAGGACTTAACGCCCATTCTCTGGATTATTATAATTTTTATTGATATTACACAATTCAATTTACAAAAAGCAACAGAATTAAATTAAACAAACACAACATCGATTCCATCAACCAAGAGAATTTCACTCTCGGAAAATTTATTGACGTATTTCCAGCGGCTGGTGAACAAAAAATTGCTGTAAAATATATCTATATATAATTTTATATACTACATGTTCTATATAAGCGTATATAAAGCGGTGTGCGCAATCAGAGTTTGGAGTGAGGTCGACTGAGGGGTTTAGGAGGGTGTGGGCGGGTAAGGGAGTAGGGGGTGAGGAATAGAATGCTGTAGGCGTCCCGTAAGCGCCGTTCTATGGTAACCAGGGTTACGGCACGTAACACCACCCACGACCCTCTGACTGTCTTGCCCGATGTGTTTGCTCAATGATTTTATACCAATTATAGGCTATCCCAAGCTCTCGTCCTTGGCTGGTGCACAACTGGGTGCAGGCGCTCTTCACCCACCATTAAACCCGTCGCGTGTTACCCCTGGTGTTTCGCGTTACGTTGAGCCACTGCACCAACCCTCCAGCCCTCACGTGTCTCCCTCATATTTATGATTATTCTTTTTTATAAGCGTTAGACATTAGTGGAGAGAATTTTTCCTACCTAAATACCCAGAGTTGCTCCATCAATTTCACAACTTGATACGTTTCGAATTCTCTTCAATTTTTTTTATAAAATATATATTCTTTCTTCATAAATTATACATAATAAATTACATCATCATTGCATACATGGATTCTTCTGGACGACGTAAAATGCGAGGAATGGGGGGAATAGTTAAGAATTCGGATCTAGTCTAGTGGATATTTATCTAGAAATAATATTTTTATCACACTGTCCATGGAACGGTATTTTCTTCACACTGTCCGTCACACTGTATGACTCGTGTGATTGCATTCCTCGGCTTCGCCTCGGTCTGCAACCCCCACATTCGTCAACAAATTTTTTTTTGGCCTTGTGACGAAAATAGATAATTATGAAGTTGAAAATTCCATTGTCAAAAAATATTGCTCATGTGATTAGCAGCCCTCAGCCGCCAACTTCACATTCGTGGAAATTTCGTCTCACTCGTATCGAAATCCACATTTTGTAGTGATTTTCAAGTTTGCGACTTTGGGAAATATGCAATGTCAATTCCCAGACGAGCAATTGTGAGACGCAAATTTGTGATGTGTAAAGCGAAGCGAAGCGCACACACTTCAGTTCACTATACGCATAATTTCTTAACCCTAGACTGGTCACCAAACGCGACCCGGCGACTTTGGTCACCTTCGCGGGGATTCGCCGCTGTGTTATTTAGGCTTTAGCGTTGCCGAATTTACTCTACACTACCCGGGCGCGTTTAGCGAGTTTCCGGCAACGTGGCGTCATGGGCAATTTCATGTAAGGGGTAACGGAACCGACCATAAAAAGACGTTTACCAAAAACAAATTTTCTCGGATTCTATGCAATAAGAATCAATGAAACTTTTTCCCCGTATTGAGAGTAGCGGAACGCATCGCTCTCTTCTCATGTTTTTCTTATTTATGCAAAAAAAATTGCAAATTATTTAACGACAAGAACTAGGGCAAGGCCGACGCCATTTTATTTGTAGGAATCTACCAAGTCATGGTAGAAAAACCGATTTTTTGTTGATTTTTCTTAGCCGATGACTATTTTCATGAGAAGAGAGCGATCGAGTGAGGTTCAAGACAGATTTTGAGTACAAAAACGTACTTTTGCTGCGTATTTTTTGTAAAAACTTGTTTATGATGATTGGGTGGTATCCAGGAGGTAACATGGCCTTTACAAGGCACCAATTGTAAGAGGGAAGTACTTTTACGAGTCAGAAGATGATATAGAATATTTCCATACCATTATTATTTATTTATATCCATTTATTTATATTTTATAGGATTTTGTACTTTTCACGTGCAAAATCCAAAAAACCACGGGAACCTGCAATACCGATAGGGGGGACCCCTAACCTCTGCATGCGATGGGTTCCGTTACCCCTTAACATGGGAAAAAGTAATTCATCTGTTCGAAATAATTTGTTTTCTTTAGGAATTTTGGGAAATACGTTGTTCTAAAAACCACTATAATTTTTTGAACACTTCAATTGACAAATTTAAATTTTTTTGAATTTTTCCGGTTAGCTATTCAATTGTAATTGAAGAAAAGCGACGCACGGTGGGCTTTCCCGCATAGGGTGACCAACCTAGGGTTAAGTTTGCGCAAGCCGTGCGAAAAATAAGTGTTTTACGCACACTAAACCGTTCCCAAGTGAATTTTTCAAGCAGGTTTTACAAAAAGTTTTTTTCGGACTTATGACGAAAATATACATTTCTTCATTCGCGCAGTAACAAAGAGAAACCAAAGTTTTAGTTTCTAGTGGTATCTTCGTAATGTTTGGAATTGATGCTTAATTTTTATAAATCTATTGTCAACTTTTAACTATTCTAGACGCTAACTGGAATTACCTTAAACGTTAAGGATTTCCATCACTGAAATTGACGCAAGAAATTCGTAAAATTCGGAATCATCTCACAGAAAATTAGTGACAAGATTACTCGATTTCAGAATTTCTCACCCTTTGAATTTAAAAATGCCATAGATCGCTAAAAACTGAAACCTTTTTCTCCGTGAAGTTTGCACGAATGAAATTGAAACCTTAATTTGAGTAGATTCTACGACTTGATTCAAGTCACATAATATATTTCATGATTCAAGCGCCCAATTATCCGAATCACGGTATTTCATTTGAGCGTTGAATCCCTCGGGATGTGTTATCTTAAGTATTCATTTCTCGATAGCTTTTTTTTATTTATGATCGGTACACGCGAGTGAAATAGTATGTTTCGTCATTAGGCCGAAAAAAACTTTCTAGCGAATATGAGTTTGCAGCCCGAGCCGAAGACGAGGGTTGCAATCACACTGATAGAATGATTCATTTATTCCAAACGAGATTCGTTAACTATTAACGAATGGTAGAGTTGAATATGACCAAATGAATACTCGTTAATAGTTAACGAATGATTCACTTGAATGGCGAAAGTCAAGTCAAACAAGGCTCCTCAAATGTACATTCGTTGACTGTTAACGAATGAACATTTGGTGGGACCGAATAGACCCTAACCTCCAACCAAAATCCATTCGTTAACAATAACTAATCCGTTCTATCAGTGCATATGAGCTAGAAAAGTTTTGTAGGCCGTATGTCGAATGATATTTTTTTTCAAAATAGCTGTAAGCAGTGATTCACGAACACTACGCGTTCGTAAATCGCCGCCTTACGGCCGGAATGACAAAAAAAAATTCTTCATATCTCAGTATATGTGATTTTCTTTTCTCTCTATCCCTCATTCTTTGCAAATATCGTAAAACGTGCGGAACACTTCAAAATTTCTATCTACCCTACTGATAGTTTCCATAAATTAACACTGAATATAAATTATTGAGTCGATGTTGAATCCCTTGCATGATCAACCGAGCATTCACCCCGCGACACTTTCTTCTCTTTCAGAAGCGTTACAAATCAGTGACACGAAATTTTCATACGTGACTACACGATTTTCTCTCATCACTTAATACATTCCGAATTTCCTTCGCTTTTCGTATCAAAATATATATATTTCTTCTGTACCATAAAGAATAAATTACTCAATTATCGCACACATTAATTTTCCAAAGTAACGTAAAATTTGATAAATTGAAGAATAATTTAAAATTTCGATCTAGCCTCCTGATAATTCCCATAATCATTCAACTTAACACTGAATGGCTGAATAGATATTGAATCACTTCCATTGTACATCGAGTATCCCCGCCTCGACAGTTCTTCACCTGGCACAATCGTTGGATTTGAATAACAAAAATCGGCCATCATGTTCCTCTGACTATTCAAACGATTCGATCTGATAAAAACATATTTTGATTCACAATGGTTTCAAACATCCACCGATTTGATTCTTACCGATATTATTCATTATGTCACTCACCCGTCGTTCATGAATCGATTGAGTTTGATGAAAATAACACCGACGAGAATGAAGAGGATGATAATACAACCGCCTCCAACACCGCAGGCGATGTAAAACGCCAGGATCATGTCGTCAGTGCTGACCTGAATATCATTAAAACAACCGTGAAACTTTTTCTCCGCGAAAAACAGATGTAATCACTCACCATTGTGGTTGTCGATAAATCTCTTCACCACAAGAACTCACGATCCTGCCCACGAATTTGTCTGTCGCCGTCGTTGTAATCAAAATCGTAAAGTATCCCACCTTCGTTCACCTCATTTAGCTCACTGAGGAGTCCCTATCAGTTCCCTTGTTATCATTTTCAACGTATAAGATAGTCGTTAGATACGCACACACCATGCACTTAATACTTGATTTCATATCGCAATCTTTTTTTAAAAAATCGCACATTAATATCACCGGTAGAATTATCAATCAAAACAATATAAATATCTCGGGAGAATTACTCATTCGTTGTCTCGTTAAGTCACGTCCAAATATCGTGCGACTAAATTTCGTGGTGATTTTCTTCCTCAACTTGAGAATGTCTCAACTGTGTACACAATGCTAATTGGCCCCGATAAAATTCCTTCCTCATTCCTCCCCTCCTTCCACTCAAGACATGCTTGATAATGACTCATTATCGACTTTACATAGAATCAACGGTTTCTCTTCGGTAAACAGGGTAACCAGGTATTTTCCTGGCGAATATTTTACGGGTCATGATGTAGTAGAAAACGTACGGGAGTAGTATTATTACAGCATTGTAAACATTGTACGGAATTGGTCTGGTTGAGCCAAAGGGAGCGAACCATAGACCTCGTCTTGTGGCATCTCTAATGTGATGACTCAGGAAGCTCATTAAGATTATCCAACTGTAGTGTTCCATTCGTACATTGTTCGATACTTTCGAAGTCAACAACATCAATGTCCAGAGGATTATTGGGACTGTTGTGGCGTGTAAGAATGGTCGTTTACTCAAGCGAGTTGCGTCCTGAATAATATTTTTATTTCGTCATTCATGGGGGGGAAAATTTGCGTTCCAAGAATTGGAAGCATACTTTAACACCGACACAGCATTTTCTCGTAAGAATGATCCGTCGTGTTACACACAACGGGGTTACATCATTTTTTGACACATTTTAAGTTTTGCATTGAGACCTTGTATATATGCAGACATTGGAATCTTCATATATCAGTTACACGATGTACATATCAGTAGCGAAGCGGTAAACCGGGTTAAGTCGATTTTGACTATTGGCCAGTTTTTGACGAATATCTGGGAATCTAAAAGAGATAGAAAAATTTTTGTCATGACCTTTTTTGTAGAATCAACTGAGGGTTATAAAAAAGGTAATGAGCAAAATTTTGCTATCTCTCTTAGATTCCGAGATATTTGTCAAAAAATCGCCAAAAGTCCAAATCGACTTAACCCGGTTTACCGCTTCGCTACTGATAGTGAATTCTACTAAATTGAAATGTGTCAATCCAATTACACATTGAGCAATCTGAATCCACATTGTATAATTCAGTAGCGAAGCGGTAAACAGAGTTAAGTCGATTGTGACTATTGGCCAGTTTTTGACGAATATTTCGAAATCTAAAAGCGATAGAAAATTTTTTGTCATAACCTTTTTTGTAAAGCCAATTGAGGGTTATAAAAATGGATGCAAGAACATTTTTTCTATCTCTCTTAGATTCCGAGGTATTCATCAAAAACTGGCCGAAAGTCAAAATCGACTTAACCCGGTTTACCGCTTCGCTACTGAATTGAAAGATTGAAATTCATGAATAGTCAATTTGTTGTTTGCAATTCGATGGGTATAATTTAAATATGTGCACGTGTAGGATTCATTTATTGTTAACAAGATAAATGTGTAAATAAAATACCTAAAAATTTTATCACAACAAGAGATTCGTTAACTATTGACATTATTTGTATTCGTAAGCTGTTGAAAAAGTAAAATATTAAATATTCAACTCTACAACTCATTGATAGTTACCACATCGCTTGAACAGTATGGGAATTGTTCTATTAGTATAGAATAAGAAAAGTGTTATAATTTTTATGAATTTTGTGTTTCTTTTAAACACTAAATTCTATTCTATTGTACAATAGGTATAATTCAACAAAAATTTCAATTAATATTTAAAAAATAGGGGACTACGCCCCCTGCTCGCTCCGCTCGCCACCTCCATATGACCCCCATGATCCTTATTCTGGCCCTGATGACCCTCATGACCCTTAATTATGGAGTGTTAATTTTGAGTACCAATTTTTATAATGTGATGACTCAGGAATTTTTATCACCAGAAGTCGATTTGGATTTGTACAATATAGAGAGATAGTAAATTACACATTTACAATAAATAATAAATAATAAATTTACATTTATTTGTTTTTGGGACGCTTTAAATTTGTTGTGGAATTTTGAAGTCAAAATAGTTTTCTTTAAATAGGTAAGAAATGAGAAATTTAGATTTGTTTTGTTATCTTTGAATTAGTATATGGCTTTATCTTTAATCAGTTATTTTAAGCAATGAGTGTCTCCATAAAAATAGATTATAATGGTTTTTATATTTTGCTTTTTGTAGATGGAAATTTAATATATTGCCCTGATGAGGCGGGGATTTACCACTTGAAACGTTGGCGAATGCTTGAAAATTTATACTTGATTTCATTTTTGATTGTTGAAATTGCCGAAAACCGCGAAATGGCCTAGAGGAATAGGAGGAATTTGAATGAACATTTACAAGGTTGAATTGTACAATGTGGAATTCAGATTGCACTATGTTTAATTAGAATAGTACAATACAATTTATTGAAAGCGTGAGTTAATTCTGGGGGATTGCTATCTACAATTTTACTTTAATTTTAATGTCTAATTTAAGTAAATTAATATCGGAAATCATTATGATTAATTTTGAATTACTTAAATAAAATTACACATGGAAATCTTTCAGAATTAATTCCCGCTCCTAACATATAGCACAATTGGATTCGTAAATCGTGTAATTATAATGTGAAGATTACAATTTCCGGGGACAAGATCTCAATCCAAAACATCACGTGTATCAAAAATGAAGGGCCTCCGTTGTGTGAACTAGGTCATTTTGTCAAGGAAATGCTCGGTTTGAGAGAATGCCAAATTCAAATTTGAATTTCAATTCTTATTTTTTTGATAATTTTCACGATACATTCCTTACTTACAGATAACTTCCAGCTTCTGGCTTGAATGAAATGATCCATATCAATGAGGGATGAGATTAATGTGCAGGAGACAATTTCAATCAAATTTTTAATTATTGCGTCGTTTAATAGAAGGGTTAAGAGGGCCCACGACACACCGGCGATTAATGCATGGGTCACATTGTCGACAACTGCACGAGCCACTGCATGTGTCAAATTATCACTCAATCTGTCTCCAATTAAACAAATTAAGCCCAATGATATCGTAAAAATTGTCTTGAGTATTGCATTGTTGCTAAACATCTCGCCGATGGACACACGTCAACGTGACATAACCCTCACTGATAACAATAACAAATCCCGTTGATGAAGAAAATCCCTGGATTATCGATACGAAGTTTGAATTTTAAAACGTATGGAATGATGATGTGTTTTATATTTTATATATTTTGTTATATTTTATATCATGAAACGTTTATTACCTTTGACGCAATTAGCCAATTCAAGACGCGATTCAAATTCGTCATAAATATGTAGTACACATCACTTTTTTACACATGTGATAAAATTTCTAGTAATAGGAAATTTGCATGAATTTTTTCCGTTTTTTGATCTCAAATTTGAGACCTGAATAATTTATTTTTCATTCACAAATGTTCGAAATATTACTCATTAATTAATAATTAATTGTTAAAACCTCCCCGGTTGCGGCTTGTTGTCGTTTCACGCGAGAAAAAATGCAATAGAAAACTTAGTGAATTCCCTTGAAAATTCTATTTGTTTTTTGCGCTGATTCTATTGGATATTTAATAAGAAAAAGTCAATAGATTTCGAATTTCTGTTTGTATTTTTCTCTTAGATTTTTTCTATTAGAATTATTGGGCACAAATTTTCTAAGTTTTTTCCGCTGGATTTTGTTTTGTTTTGCATTGCAGAATCCGAATGGAAAACTCTCAAAATTGATTGGTCCGCGCGCTCTGCGCGCTTTTGTCTTATGTATTTTGACCGAATTCGCGGATTTTTGAGATTTAAAAATTAAAAATAAAATGGATCTAAGACGAAACCCAACATGTATGATGGCTCAAAATTTTTGTTTTGATTATAGGAATTACTGAAAAAAAATTAAAATAATCAACCGTGACGTAATTAGCCAAATTCAAGTTTTTCAACTTTTTTTTTTCGAAAATTCGTTATTTCGAGCATCTAGAGATTGGAAAAAATTTGGACAAAAAACATCTCCGAACTTGGCTGTCAAAAAAATCTTGAAAAATTTGAGAAATAGTTTTTCAAGCCTCCCAGTCGCAGAAAAAATCGCCATCAATTTTCAAGAGGGTGAGGGTCAGCCGTTGACTCATTTGGCATGGAATACCTCATATAATACATCCGTGTATCCAGTGTGTCCGTTTTTGAAGACAATCTATTCGGCGTATTGTGTTCTAAGATTTGTTGTAAATAATGATAGCATACGTTAAAAATATTACGATAATTCTATATCATATTATATTCTATACTATTCTATATTATATATACTATGTATAATATACAATATATAATAGATACTATAATACTATATGTATTATAAAATATAATGTATTATAATATAGTACAGTAGAACCGTATAGAACCGACGGCGGTGGCTGTAAGTTGAGATGCGAAGCGTGCAAAGCCCGTATGTATTCTCCTACGTTAAACACAAAATTATGTATCCTACGTTTTCTCATGTTTTTTTTCGTAGACATTAAGTATAACAGTGTAAAACCACATGCAGAAAATATTTGGCTAAATAAACGTTTTTAATAAAAAAAAAATAAAAAAGTGGTTAGAGTGTGGGATTGGCATGCGGGAGACCCGGGTTCGATTCCCGGCTGCGGGGCCAAAATTTGTGACACTCTAAATCTTACGGTTTCATTGTCGGGAGTTTCGCAAGAGACGACTGTACCTGGGCAGGTTTTTCCCTAAAATAAGATTTTCCCTTGTCCTTCGGCGAATGCGGTACAGGGGGTTGGGGGGTGAGAAGGGAACAAATCGTAAAGACCCGAACGGGTATACGAGAAGAAAAAGTATAGTATAGAATATAATATAATATAGCATTATCGTAATATCTTTAATGTACGCTATCATTTATAAAAAATCCAATGACACAATACGACGAATAGATTGGCTTCAAAAAACGTTACACTGGATTTTTTTATTAAAGGAGAAAAGTTAGTTTTATATGTTCTGCTGTCAGCTGAAAAAATTATAGAATTTTCCTTGACCATGAAAATAGTACATTACATGCTCGAGTCTTGGAAAACAGATCACCGTCCCCTCGCCTTCGGCTCGGAAGGCAATCTTGCACGTGGGGGACGGTGGTCTGTTTTCCAAGGCTCGGGCATGTAATGTACTATTAGCGACAATTTAACGACACTGGCTAAACATCCTTAAGAGTGCCCACAACAGGGCAGCAATTAATGCATAGGTCAGATTATCACTCAACCTGTCTCCAATTATAACAAATGAAGCCCAATGATATCGTAGGAATCGTAATTCATGATCGCATTATAGCTGAACATCTCTGATGGGTCACACGCCAACGTGCCATGCCCTCACTGTTAACAATAACAAATCAAGTTTATATAGAAAATCAAAATTCAAAAAAAAAATTCAAACGCATGGAATGATGAAGTAGATTTGTTATGTTTTATATGATAAAATGTTTATTACTTTTAACAAGTACAATTAGTGAATACACATCACATAATTAGTATTATTTTTATACATCTGATTAAATCTCAAATTATTGAAAGAATTTCACTACCAAACGCGCCAGAATTTCAATGCAAAACATAGTTTTTATTCAGTTTTTTTGGTTTGCTTAGATTGTATTATTTAAATAGAAATTAATTAACGGCTACAGGTCTGAAAATTTTCGTTAGTTTGTTATATACATCGATTATGAGAATTTTTAGTTTCCTTAAGACTATAATTTTATGGCGCATTCTTTGTTAATAATATCTCACGAGGGACTGGCTTTGTTCTTTTGAATGTTATTAGGGTTTTTCGTTATTTTACCAATCTTCCCTGGGATATTGTCCATCAAGAAATGCGTTAGTGGGGAGGGGGGCAAAATGGACACCCAATTCTCTCTCGAATATTGAAAACTCGGAAATGAATTCATCAATTGACCTCCATCGACATTCCTTACAAATACGAAAATCACGAATTCGATGAGTTATCACCATTTTCCAAACATTTGAGTGAAATAAAACGGGTCTATTTTTCCCCTCTTCCGCTCTACTACTAAGAACGAGTGTAATCAAACCACCATTTCTTGTTCATTCATTATCTTCCGCAAATGAGCTTCACTTCTCAAAATTCTCTAAACGTTATGTATATTACACTGCGGATAGAGGAATGACACCGGTGTATTCAAATACTTGTTTCAACATCCACAAGAATGGTTTCATTATTTTAGAATAACACGTATTTTAGATACCATTGGAGGAGTTTCATATCGGCGAAAATGTTACCAAATTGGTTTCCCTATGTGGAACCGTTTCAATTTTTTTTCTCGTAATATTTTTTATGAAATTTAGCTGAAAGTGCACGTAGAAAAATAGCACCACGAACATTCTACAATCCATTTACGGAATTTGTTTTCTTTCTTTATAATTTTTGTTTATTCACTCCTTGTGGGAAATTTTCGTTGCGATTAATAGTTTAATTACAATCCGTTTCAGTATAAAGTCAAGCCGATTTTAATGTAAGGGTTACAGATCAGTGGAGGAAGACGGAGTGAATGAATCGAATGAGTAATCTCCACCATTCTCCAACTACAGTTTATCACCAAGCCATTGTAATTCCTGACATAGTTAACACTATTCTCTCAGTCGTATCGTAAATAATGATTTAAATGTACATGTTTATGTATATAGAATTTTTTATTCAACTATTGTTATGTATAATTGCATAATTATAATAAGAATTTGTTCGGAAATTATCATGAGAGTTTCTCAGTTTCAGAAAGATCAATTAATCATCACATTTAGATTTTTCTTAATTTTCTCTACTTAATTTTTTTTTTGGACATTAATCATGACCTAATTTATTTAAATTTACAAATGGAACGTCATGTCGTTCACAAGTCGTCGTTCCCTTCAAATTCGCATGCCGAATGGGAAAACTAGACGAAAACAGAAGCCTGACAACTTGAGCACGATAACAGCAAATAAACTTGAAGTGGCACAACCAAACTACGATTAATCTGTGGGTAATTCGTCATTGACACCAGAATTTTTACTAAGAGAAAAAAAAACCAATACAAATGACGACGTTTCAGTGGAGACAGTAGTCTCATGCCTCTCATTGAACACTTGCTGAGTATTGTTCGTTTGGCATGTTGGTTTTGGCGTCATAATGACATAATTTTTCGTCCATTATTAATTAATTAACTAACATGATCACATCTCCGCAGATGCGTCAATTTAATACACACCAAATACTTAGAAATTCGGTACATGGTCAATTGCGTCGTAAAAAAATGATAAATACACGAGGAAAATTGATGATAATCAATGTCATGTACTTCTCAATTGCCTCACCCATTAAATGCCAACAATTTAAAGAATGTTGAGCTGAAAGAGAGATTCTTTCGCACATATTCATACACAAAATGACACTAGATATGACAAAATAATAATTAAAATACCTAGAACAAACGAATCATTTAAAAAATTACTTGGATCGCCACGAAAAAAGAAATTCCCATTATCGATGAGCACTCAATAATCACGTGAATCAACGTAGCACAAAAATACGCAGTAAATTGGTCACCCAAGTCAAGTTATTAACACTCGGTCATATCGCATAACTTCAGTCTCTTATGTAATGTACCTCTGAAATATTTGTTATGTTGAATATCTTTGTCGATGTGAATGGGTCCGTGGCACACCATATTCCTCATGGGAACAAAAGCCATATCTTCAAACGTAATCTCTCTTGTTTGATGATTTCATTGGTTTCTTCTTGTTCGATCTTTTGTAACTCTGAGTCAGGTTGTAACTCGGTGCACTAGTAAATGCATATTTCGTGTATGCCACGGGACTTGTTTCCTAATTTCTATCCCTATAAAATGATAACGGTCAAAAAAATTGGAATTACGATTCAAGTTCTGTAATGAAATGGTAAAACTTGAAAAGTCGACTCATCGCAGCGGAGTTCTCAAATGGAGATTGTTCCATGAAATGTTTAAAATCGAGATCAGCAGGATAATATTCTTGTTTCGCCACGGCGGGCGCAAAGTAATCTGACTTTGTGCCTACGCCGAGGTGAAAAATACGGTTCTAACCACAGGAGGTGAAATAAAGGACCCTTAGGATGAATGCTCATGGAAAACACAATACAAACAATTAATAACCACCAAACTACGGCGAAAGACGAACGCTAATTGGCGTCCAAATTCTTGACATTTTATTGACAATTTTTGGTAAAAATTTGAGATAAAAAAAAACTTTTTGAGTAATTAACGATTAAAAAAAAACGTTTTCTTGTATAAACCCCGTCAAATTGAAGATAATGCATGACGTCTTTTTAAAGGTTTCTCATGTTCTTTGAGTGAGTCAAAGGACGATTTGATAGCTTGAAACTCCGCAGAGATATTGCGGCCAATTTGGGAAAAAAAAATTTTTTTTGGACAAAAACTAGAAATTTCCTAAAAATCATAACTCTCTCAATTATCCATATTTTTCACTTGTTCTTTTTTCAAAATTTTTGTCTAATTATCATCGTTTCAGAAAAAAAATGAAACAGAAATCCCCAGCATCGAATTTTTGTCCTGCTGATGGGGCGTGGATCTACTCATATCCGGTATGAAAATTTTTCGATCGTTCGGGCTCATCTTGTTCGTCAAATATAAATAGTATATCAATTCAAGTCCGTCGATAACCGGAGAGGCCAATACCTAACATCCCACTAATCTTCAATAAAGGAATGAATTACTGATTGTTTTTGTGATTAGTAATGGAGCAGAATCGATTTATCATTACCATATTAATGGTGAGTGGAGAAAATAACATTTTGATTACGTTTCCAATAAATGAAGGAACAAAATATACTTTTCATTACCTCGTTATTGGCTAATGATGGCGATATCCATTTTTATTACTCATTCGATTACTAATCGTAATAAACCAGATTTCGCGCTTGATCCTTATTATTTAACTCCGATAATTATTTTTTGTGAATATTGTGTGAATAACAGATGAGGGTACTGAAGCGTAGTGCGAAAAGTGCTTAAACGAAATACAAAAAAAATCTCCAATCTCGATTCAAGTGTGAAAGAAACTTCTGGAATGGAGCGGAGAATCCTAAGAGGAAGTCAGTATTCCTCTCATTGTCAAAAGTTTTTCAACTTAATCGCCTGAAGCTCTCTACTTCAGCAATGATACCGAACATTTTCGGGGCACGTTATCTTCCAAACTTCGCAAAAGTAAAGTCATTCTAAGTATTGTACTATTCGGTACTGATGAAAAGCACTTTCTTTAGAGTGTGATGAAAAAACTCGCTGTTATTAACACCGATTAAACAATAAAACGAAATGTAGTTTCCATTATTGATCACTATCATGGAAAAAGAATCTATAGTTACGATATTTCATCAACAGTGTAATTAAAATCTCAACGATCGATATTACCTCTTAAAGAAATGATGGAAATATTTCGGATCTCTTTATTGATTATCGAGAGACTGATTCTTACAGAGAACGTCCCTTAATAATCCTACACGACTGAATTTCCAGACGACAGTATAGTCAACACATTCGTCCTGTCGTCAAACGACTTGATTTGTTTTACCATTTCAGTACAGAATTAATTTTATCAATTTTTCAATCCATTGATGCAAACAAATCTACATACCCAGGGCCTGGATAGTAATAAGGAGGTGGACGTTCATATTCAGTGCTTAATGGTGGAGCACCAGCCGGCGGCTGATACCTTGGTGGCCCGCCATTTGGAAAATCCCAATTTCTACAATAACAAAATATCACATCTAAATATAACACTCACCTACACATCGACAAATCATCAAAGTAAACAAAAAAAAAGACAAATGAAAATGAGCCATTTAATGTACGCACGACTTCATTATTCCACATATTTACTTGATTCTTTATAGACTACATATCACATTATTATCATCAAAAATACTGGGGAACATAAAGTAAACAATACAAATGTTGAAAAACCTATATGATTGTGAATAATTATTGTGATCGCTAAAATACGTTTGGACAAAACATCAAAGTATTATTCGAACATTACGCGACAATTAAACTCTGTAAAATATCCTTTGTTCCACATAAGAGTGACTCTTACGACTTACGTGTGTGCATTGGGTGTATTTGGACGTGGTAAGGGTGTCCTCAAGCAAGGTTCCCACTCACCTGTAAATAATGGGGAAAAAAGCTCGTGACCAAGTGTCGGTCTGACTACAACATTCTCTTTAGCCTCTTTAATTGTTTTTTTTCTCTTTCTAATAATAAACAGACAAGGAACTATGTCAAAAATGGCACAACACAAAGATAAACTCAATGAGTGGGAACCCTGCGCATTTACTGTGTTAAATATTGAAAAAAAAAAAAATATATATATACCCATGAATGTCACCACTATTACAATTGTTATTACGTGTTATGTTTGGAGCAACCATAAACAATATGAAATTAAACATTTAATGAGTATTTGGTTATTTTGGGCAATGGAAAATAAACGATTAAATAAACATAAATATGAAGCTCCAAACGCATTACAAAAGCGATCAATTTTAACCGGTTTATTAAACTTACTGCGACTCTAGCGGGATACTATAGACTTTATTTGGACTTTCAGGTTTTGAGGTCGCAACACGATCATGGCGTTGCCATGAACGGGCGAAACTGCAATGGAAATTTAAAATACTCCTTTATTTACGTGTTCTCAATTACTCATTTTGTTTCCATTCATTCTTATCATCTCTTCATTTCTTTACCATCCTCTAGAATAATTGCAATTGTTCGTTGGTCTCGCAATTGAAGGGGAGAGTCGACTCCTGATGATTAGCTTTTGCTTCTGAAAATTTTTGATTCAGGCTTATTTGTTCAACTTACTTTGGCGCAAGATCGGAGTATCTCGAGTCGTGGTGGGATGAGCCTTGATGAGCATCAGCAACTCTTTCCCTACCAGTGTAGACCCCCGCTGCTGCTGGGCCATCATAACTCTCCACGTAGGCAGAGGGATGATGCCTGCTGTGTGCCTTATGCTTCTTATCGTGTACACTGAAAAAAGACGTCACTCATCATAAATAACTGTTGGTTAATCCTCCACAGGGAGATCAGAGAAATTAAAAGAATTCGAGATACCACTCAAAGCACCGACAGAGGATCAACAAAGGCGCAAGGAGAAATTCAAAAAAATCATCTAGTATACTTACTGAGCTAAAGGCATGTTATCCCTGTCGGCATATGCGTCATACAGATATTCTCTGTAATTCATCGTGTTAGTGATTAGAAATGGAAAAATTGTTGATAAAGAGTTTAGTTTTTACCCTCTGTTTTATTCCAACAGTGAAAATTTGAAATCAATGGGAGAAGAGACATTTTCATGCTTGAAAATTCCCCGGAAAGTTTTTCCATCGAGAAATCATAAAACAGGCGAGTAAAAGAGAAAATATGAGTTTTATTGAAAATTTTACTTACGTCTCGACTAGGGGCCCTGGGTATGGATCGGATTTCTGGTAAAGGGCACTGAGCTTGACACAGAGAACGATTGTCGGAATGAAGAGAATCAGGGTCCAGCCGACACTCGCCCAAAATCCGTTCTGAAAGATGGTAAAAAATCAAACTCGATATAAATATAAATATACTCGAAATATATAAATATTTCTCAAAAAATGTAAAAGTCAGAAACAAAATTAGAAAGTTTACGTTTGGGGGAAAATTGATGAAATAATTTGAAATCTGCAATTTTTGAAAATAACGAGCATTGTCTATAAATAATTGATTAACAATCAATTTTCCACCCTCAAAATCATTTGGTCGGAATTCTAAAAAAATTATTCATATTCAGAACTTTACCAGAAATCGATTTTATGCTTAACAAATAAGGTTTCCAAAAGTTTAAACAATTTTAATTATTTATTCATGAACAAAAAATGTTTAAAAGAATAATAATTCGGTGGAAAATGTAATTTGAATGACGCTGAATATTCATGATTTTTTTCAAATTTTTCTCACGGAATTTAATTGACTAAATTCTTGATTGAAGATGGTTGAATCTATAGTGTGGTCTGTACCAAACTGTAAAAGATACTTCGAAATCGTCAAACTGTTTTACCGCTTTACTCCTAATTTGTGACCGGAAAATATTCGTTTTATGCAAAATAAGGGACAGCAGTTTTTCGTTTCAGCTATTCAATAATCACAGATAAGGAATAAATTCTTAAGTAAAATAATAATGAGGATATGAGAGCAATCTTGCAACTTGGGGACAAAGGAGAATCAAACAATTTTTTTTGGAGAATTTCCATCCTTTAATTTCTTTAACTCAAACCAGATTTTTTTGAGAATTGGTTCGTTTTTCTCTCAGTGTGGAGTTAATTCTGGAATTAAGTGGTGACGAGAGATAAGGTTCTAAATAATGAAGGGATTATTCCGCAAATAACTCCGGAAGCACGAAATTCAGATTAATGAGACATAATTTAGTTTTTATAGTCCATAAAATTCTTGAAATATTCAACTGCTGATTCATATGACATTTGAATTGATGTTGGACTACGAAATGTTTTAATTCAATGAAAATTCAATGGTAAACCAAATTTCAGTTTGATGTAATGATGAAAATGCATGGAAATCATGAAAATTCAAGCAACTATCACCTTGAACTATCAGGTTATTCGAAATTCTATTCAATGCTATATTCAATTGTCAAAATTAATTCGAAGGTCCAAATTATTATTAATACTTCTACATTTATTGGATTTAGAAAAACGCCATTTCCTCGCGATCCATTAAAAACTCATCTTCCAAACGATGTCTTGATTGTGTTTATTTCTGTTTTCATTATCGAAGATTGTTCCAAAATGCTACTCAGTCTGAAATTACGCAGGAGACCTCAAGAATTATGAGTATACAATTTTTCAAGGTAAAAAAAAAACACGGAACTTTATCAAACAGATTGCAATTGTCACGCAAAATTGCAAATAACTGAATTATATTCAGAAATGGCTGTCAGATTATTACATGTGTTAATGCAATATCCTCCTTATTGAACTTATTTTCTAATATCAAATAAGGACGCTCTTTGAAAATGTTTGGCATTTTCTCATTTTTTATGATGTAAAACCAGATAGGAATTGAAGAATATTTAAGATCAAAAGTAACAATATAGATAACGTTTGAAAGATAATATATCCAGGCCTTCAGCTCACTTCTAACTCTCAATCTTGCAAGTTGGCATCTAAAGAAATATGAGTGTACAATTTTTCAAAGATGAAAAAACACAGAACTTTTTCAAACAGATTACGGCTTTCTGCAATTCCGCAATAATTTATTTATTTGCAAACAAAATTACAAATAAATAATTTGTAATTAATCATTTGTAATTTTGTTTGCAATAAATTATCCATCTGCGATATCCTCCTTATTGAACTTGGTTTCTGATATCAAATAAGGACGCTCTTTGAAAATGTTCAGCATTTTCTCATTTTCATTTTTTATTGGATCCTCATAAATCTGCGGAGATTCATTCGTGATGTAATACCAGATAGGAATTGAAGAATATTTAAGATCAAAAGGAGCGAAACAGATAACGTTTGAAAGATAATATATTCAGGCCTTCAGTTCTCTTCCAACTCTCAATTTTACAAGTTGGCATGTAAAGAAATATCAGTGTACAATTTTTCAAAAGTAAAAAAACAGAACTTTTTCAAACAGATTGCGGTTTTCCCACAAAATTGCAAATAAATAAATTATCCTCAGAAATGGCTATCAGATTATTATATGCCTCAATAAAGTATCCATCTGCGATATCCCCCTTATGCGCTCTTTGAAAATGTTCAGCATTTTCTCATTTTCTTTTTTTATTGAATCCTCATAAATCTTTAGAGATTTCTCTGTGATGTAAGACCAGATAGCCATTGAAGAATATTTAATATTAAAAGAAACGATATAAATAACGTTTAAAAGATCCCGACATTTTTCCCCTCAAGGTCATCAGGTCCATCCAAGATATTTACAAAAAAATAACCCGTATGAACCTTTGCAATTCATCTCCAACCCTCTAACCATGCAAACTAAATGAATTAACAGAAAAAAAATGAAAATAAGAACTCACGAATGGGTCCAGAATTTTGTTACACCCAGCAACAATAGTCGCATTATAAGCATTAGAGACCGGTCCGCATCTGCCGACAGTTTCCTTCGAGTTCCTGATGAGATGTTCCAAGAAATCATTGACCTGCTGCAGAAAAGTCTCACCAAACTTGGTAGCAAGATAATTAACATATTCTGGACCATCTTTATTCAAAAACTGCTGAGCACTCATGACCTCATGCACCAAGTTAAGAATAGCCTCAGGCATAGAGCTATGGTTGAATTTAATGTGCTCCTCGAGCGTCATAGCACTCTTACTAAGCTGTTCGCTGAGTGACGTCATTGGCATTACTAAATCCTTATGATAATGCTCCAAATCGTGGGCATTTTTAATTAAGCTGTCCTTTATCTCCTCGTGACCAGGTGGTAATTCAGCAGCCACTTGTTTCAACTTATTACCAAGATGCTCCAAGTTAATGTTCGTTATATTATCCTTCAAGAGTTCAGCATACTGATAAAATTTGATATCACTCAATCCACTCTGCGCCAAGTCATTCAGTTTAGCTGTGGCACTCTCAGTCAAGATAATAATTCCCGGCTTTAAATTAATCATTTTTCGTAACTCATCGATTGTGCTACTGATAGCATAACGCTCAACGTAACTCCTCAGTGAATCAAGCTCAATAAGATATTCCAATTTCAGGACTTTGTAGAGTGTCTCATTGGCATGACATTTAGTGAGTATCCAGCTCATGTTTATGTCTGCGTGCTGATTGTTTGGATAAAGCAAACTTTTGACCTGTACAAAATCATCGACCAGCTTGAACATGCGATTGTCACGAGGATTCTTCAGTGGTTCGCAAATCCCTCTCTGCACCACAACACCTGTTATCATGTGCGCTGAGGTGATAATCATGAGTGCGCTTGTCAATAAAAATATTATCCAAACAGCTAACATTAAGAATCTCGCCCCTGAGCCTTTATTGCAGCAGTCGTCACCATAGCCATCTGGGCGTTTTCCACATATACCACAGCAGAGCCCAAATGTCAGGCACATGAGGACTGTCAGCAGAATACCAGAGACACCGAGACCCATGTAATATCTGTACAATGAGTATTGGTCTATGTTGTCCTGGGCTATTTTCAAGTGGGGAATGTAGACTCTATTGATATCTCGATTGATCCTATCAATCATACTCGTGATGTTGTTTGCCGTCTCTGATAGTGATTGACCGGCCTTTCTTATGCTTGTGCTGACGACGGGAATCGTCTGATTGACGGCGCGCTGGATGTCACGTTGAATCCTCAGGAAGGATTCCTTGCCCTGACGCACCTCAGAGACAATGTTGCCTTCCATCAGGGATGTTATGTTACGTAAGGCGAACGTAACATCAGGAAGCTGGAAATTGAAATATTTTCGATAATTTATCGATGCTTAAATATCAGAACCACAGATTCAACTCTCGATTTAGCTTTATCATTAATTCACCTTGGGGAAGTATTGATCCAAGTACTGCATGTAAATTGCAATTGAGGAAAATTAATAGGTTTTATCGATTAAACTTCCATGACAAGTTTCATGATGATTTAATGGCTCACCTTATCGAATTCAACCTGCACCGATAACTGATTAATTTTGAAGTCCTGCAACAGTTGCTCACACGCATGAGTCTTGCATGCTGCCAAACTGTGTAGCAAGTCTTTTTTAACTCCCCTAACTACGATATCTAGTTGGCTGGCATTGGTCCTCAATTCCTGGGTTATTTGATTCATCATTCTCAAGTCTTGTCTTATTGCATCCAATCCAGAGACGATGTCACTCAAATTTGTCAGGGAGACGGCATGAGAATAAATGGCAAGCTCCTCAGTGACTATTCTACCGCTCGCTTGAAGTATTTTATTCAGAGTTATCTCGAGTTCGTTGTAGTTTTCCTTCAGGAGAGTATTTATTTGCAACTTGGTTGTTGTTAAATATAACTCCAGGTCCTTCAAACTTGTCTTTGCTTGGCTCGGAAGGTCTTCTGTACCCTCTTGCATGTATTCATTTGTGACGAATGCACAGACCACTCCAAATCTGTATCCAGAGATTAAGGTTAATTAAGATTAACATTAATTGTTGGTTGAAAATGAATAACTGGGAATTTATCTCGTAAACAAGTGACTCCGCTAGAATATTTGTGAGTAACTTTTTTCATTGTTGGAGAAATTTCCGACGAGAGTTTCTAAAACTACTCGCTTTAGGAAATGTAGGTCGAGAATAAATATTATCTATTGACTGTTGTTTTGGGCCATATTTCGGTCAGCAGTAAGATAATTAACGGGAAAAATAATTTAAAGAATTAAAATTCAATAATAGATTTGAAGGGATGACGACACTCCGAACGTACAATTTAGTTCTCTCCACGTGCATTTGACTTATATGAAAATTTATGTGCAATAAAATTGTTTTTCATGCAAATCATATTTTTTCTATTCCGTAATCAGCCGTGACCAAACTCAATTTATGAATTCGCGGCTGAGCTGTGAATGGTTTGAGATAAGTCGACAATTTTACTCAACTCTTCATGAAGCTGAAGTTAGCAGGATATTCACCAGCAGAAGATTCAATTTAGGGGTTTTTTAGTGTGTAAGGGTTAAACAATCACATGTGCAAATGTTTTTCAAATGCGAACGAGTTTGTACATGACCTGGAAATATTCGGACGACCCTAGATACGCCTAAAGACAATTTTTCGCTAGTTTCAGCTTTATCCAATTTTCCCGAATGAACGGTTCAAATAGAAGAAAAACAGGTGGGAAATTGCTCTTGTATTGCATATAGTATAGTTATTTTTGCTAATAAATGAGCAATATGCTTCTCAATGGTTATTTTGCACATGATTTCCTTCTATCATGTATGATTCATTGTTAACATAAACATTTTATTTATATACTTGGATGAATTTGAAACATTACATTTGATGAAACCATCAGAAAACTCACTTTCAGGGAAATTCATGAAAAATTCGAAATTTTCAACAATCATCATAAAAATCAAATCAACCAATATAGCTATCGTAATCATCTTTTAACTTGAATTTAATTGCATTAAAACAAACATTAAACAAACATTTTCTTTTGAAGCATGATATCCAAAGATATCCCGGGAATTATAATTTTCAAAAAATACAGAATTTTCGCAAATTTTCAAATAAATCAAAATAACGATTATTCATCATTCAATCAATTCAGAACCTTTTTTTTAGTTATCGTAAAAAAAAAATTTCTTGAAAAATGTTATAAATTAATAAATGAATTAAATTTTAATTAATGGCGATGGATAGGGCACAACAATACCATTTGAGGAAAAACAAAGATTCCATTCCATCGATTCATTAGCAAACGATCGAAGAAAAATTTGTTTGCCTAAAAATAGCATTTTCGGACTTTTTGGATCATAATGGGTCGATATAACAGAAAAAATCTTAAACTTAAATTTGAACGATTACAATGCTTCCATTCGGAAGCAAAAATAATATAAATTGCACCGGAAACAACTATTCCAGGAAGCTATAAATGTATATTATACCTTTCTTCATTCAACTAATTTGTTATTTGCTCTCAAAATAATCTAAATAAAAAATATTATTTCATGTGGAAGAGATTTTGCCTAATATGTACCCCCCACTGACAAGGTTAATGTACAATAAATAACTAACATAATAAGATAATTAAGAATATGACAAAGACTATCTTGCTGCATACTGCAAAATATGGCCCAAAGAGATCAATATTCAAGAAAACTCGTTCAAAAGCATATTATCAACTTTAATAAATATGATCGTAGAAAGGAATAATACGAAATTTAAAAAGAAAAAGAAGTTGAAGAATTTCATTCCAGCAAAGGCCTATAAATAATGGAGTAAATTAAACTTCAAGAGTTCTCAAGATGTCGAAACATCGATTCTTCACCCACAAAAACTTATGAGAAAATTAATAGGAAGTGAACTGACAAAAAGTCCTCCGAAGTGGAAATTTCCCACAGCTTCCGACGAAACACTTATCACGACTCATTTCCTCGCAATTTAACAAGAGATTATTTCTCTTTTTCATCTAAATATTTTTCTACAGCAGTGCAACCTTCTCGTCCCACTTGACAGATGATTTGATTGAGTATTTAAAATCGTCATTCGTGCCTCTCAACACTGATAATTCGATCAAAACAATGGATAAGATAATTACAGTATGATTGTAGCAACGCAAATGAGGATAAAGCTGAGAAATACTTTGCGGCAGTGATCATGTTTTTTGTCAAACGGTTGGCTCCTTGCACCACAGTGTCCAGCACAACGGCAGCAGCAGAAAAAAAGTCCAACACATGGCAGTATTGCAGCAAGTAAGAGGCCGGCAACAGCGAGTCCTGCCAGTCCACCATAGTGAGTGACAATGATTTTCCACTCTTTAGCAGGATCGGCAAACTCCAAATGTCGATCATTTACCGTTATCATTCCTGCAATCAGATATGACCGCCTCATTTCCACAATCTCCATTATCTCCACAAAAACCCTATCAATAAAAATTGCATAGGCCTGAGAGTTGAATGGAACGTTCCTCGTATGTAGAGTAAGAGATAAGCGACGACTTCCGTGTGAGATTATGTGTCATCATCAGGTGGCCCCGCAGATGACCAACAAACACGCGCCCTCGTACTCCCAATTTATCAATAAACTCCCTCAAATTCTGTAAATTATGCAAATTTTGGAGAACAAAGTGTGACAGGAGGATGTCTTTTGTCGTGTTCTTATCCCTCGCACAATATTTACACAAATCTACTGTCCACGGTCACCTCACAACAATTCAGTTATGCATCGCCATTGATAAGATAATGCTTTAAAATTTAAAGTGCAATGAACGATCGATAAACCCGGATTACCGTTCTAGTTTCCCATAACTATGACGAAGCACCAAAGCCATCTACTTCATAGCAAAAATGAAAAAAAAAAGCCCAAAATTATTTTCCCACAGAGATTCCACGAGTTGGAACCGAAATTTTTTCCAAAATTCTTTCAATACCAATAATCCCCTAATGTTTACCAACAGCATTGTACCCATTCATACGCTGACACGTCGGCCATTTTAATTTAAGTCTCTATGGGGGGGAAATTGTCATTGTTCGTTTGTGACCGAATGAACGGATTCCAGGGCGTAACCATGAGACAACTCACGTCACGTCTTCAAATCGCCCTTCAAAGAACAACCAACTGATAAACAATTGAAAAATCGTGAGAGAACATACCCTCCGGATATGCCTGCTTAGACTGCACAATATCAATAAACAGATTAGTAACATTGTACAGTTGTCCCATGCCCTTGGGATTGAACTTTGTTGTTGCATTGTAAGGCAGTCCCGTTGTATTAACAGATGTAAATTCAACAGCCTGAGATGCCATCATCTCCTGCAACTGTCGATCCAAATCCTTGCTGATGGCACGCATTCTCGTCGCAAAGTCATCCTCAGTTAGCACTGTTTTGGGTAATAAAACACCACAGAATAACACCAAAACGATACAACTCGAGTGTTGAAGTTTCCTAGCCATTTTGTTAATTGGCATTTTCGGGATTGTATGGGGCTCGGGCGCACGTAGACGCGCCACAAGCCACAACACAACCGTTCGCCCCGTCAACAGCCGTGCACTGCCGTGAACTGAACGATAAAAACCCAAGCACGAAGGCTTAATACCAATACAACACAACTTCCTGCTCTCTCGTACGTATATCTCAATGACCACGCTACATCTGTAACTGTATTTTATCCGCGTTTGTGTTTGTGTTGGCAGCTGTGGAGTGGGGTTAACTCACACCAACAGTTGCCTAACTAAACGACTATTTATTATTGGTGTGTGGCCGTTCTCAGCCTCTCTCACTCGCTCGCCATAACGATGGCTGCTCCATCCTCGTCTCTTCCTCCAGCACTTGCCAATGAACTCCTCCAGACGATTAATTCTCTCTCTCTCTCTCTCTTTGATCTTTTTGTGTTATGATTTTATTGCAACTTGATGCGTCGCCACTGTGCGGCGCTTTTCACGCTCGAATAGGATGCGAATGGGATGTGGGTGAGCAATGAGCATGCGTGGGAGCTGAACTCCATTTCCCTCTGGTTTTGTTGCAAGGTAGGTAGGAGTGAAGTTTTTTCTCAGATTTATTTCTAGAGATTGCCGACAGAAATCGAAAAACTATCTTTGAATAATTTATTGAATTACATGATTGTTACATTACATTAGTCTTCATTCAATGGACGTTACGAATTCTTTCTGCATTTGCTGAGTATTGAGTTCTGGGAAGCACATTCGATATTCCATTGACCCAATTTCTATTTCATCTTTTTTGTCTTTCCTTGTTCTCTTTATTCGCCTCTGTGGTTCTTACAGTTCTCTTTTTTTGGACAACAGGATATCAAATTAAAGTGGAGTATACGTACACCCATTAGCATGATTGATATGAATTAAAACTACATTTCTCGTGGTATTCGCCTCAAAGGTCTTGGAAGCTCATCACTACTTGAATAAATGTCTCTCATCGTGGTAGTGAAGTCAGGACTGTTAACATATTCCCCAGTGGTAATCGGAGCCCCTTTCTCGCTCTCTGGCTTTGAAAAACTTGCAAGCGGCTTTGGTACATCATAATTAATATCCGTCTCATCATCTTTATGAGTAATGGTCTTCCAGTTGGCTCTCATGGCGTAACTAGCGCTGGAAATTAATGCCGGGTGTAATGAGAGTTGAGTTTCATCGGTGTTTGGACGGTAGATTGGTTTCAGCCAGTCATTGGGACTCTGGTACTGGTGATAGCCGTAGCTGTGGTAGGGTAGTGGTGGGAAATTGGGGGAATCGGGTCTTGATGTGGGGCTCGTTGATGTCGATTGTTGTGGATTTGGATTGTCGAGATTAAGTTGGAGAAGTGGATAGCCTGAATAGGCCGAGACGTAGGGTCTAATTCCAGCAAGGTAGCTAGGAATTATCTGCGGCTGTTGTCCCAGATTTCCGTAAGATCCCAGGCTTCCATTTGCCCCCAAATACCCAGGAGCACTCGGAGCAGATGGGGAATGACCCGTGTGATACCCAAAGCTACTGCCACCTAACGATATATCCCCTCCAGTCTGATAACCAGAATTGACTCCATGGGGAGGACTAGCTACACCAGGAAATCCCCCACTCTCCACCTCTGGGAAGGGATAATTACTCTGATCATTCACCTGTGTTAATGAAGGATCGCTTCCAGGATAATTAATTTGCGGTAAATGTGATAATGGGGGCTTTGATAATGGCTTTGACGCTGGAGGCCTGTGGGATGGCCCAGAGGGCAACTGCTCGAGCCCCTGCACGTGGGAATTATAAATAGCGTCAGTTACGAACACTGGAGAATTGACAGCGTGATTTTGAACGACGATTGTTACGTTGTCTTGAGAGAAGATGGGACGTTTTACTATTATACGATTCTTCTGGTTGACGTTGGTTCTCACGGGCTTGGGCTTTTGCCAGGGTAACATCTTGGCTTCGCTGGAAACTGGCTTGGTTTTTGCGGCGAGTCCGATGTTCTCTGATTCCCCGGAGACTGTGTTCAGGGTGTTTGGGGGGTCTTCGAGGTCCAGGGGGATGTTTTTATTTTTTCCCTCTGTCCAGGGATGAAGATTTAGTTGTCCCAATCGTTCATCGTCGCACGAGAGTCTTCCGTTTCGGAGGGTGTCTGTTGTTAGGAATACAAAGGGCTGGATTGTGTCGATATTGTCCAGAGTTTTGCATAATATTTTTGCCAATGACATTCGACGGATCTGCTCCAGTTGGGGGAGGCTGAAACTGCTCTGGCTGTGGGGATTTTCATACCAGAATCTATCCCCTTTACGGAGATTAGTAAACTGTTGGGCTATTATGCAGGCAAATGTCGGCCCGACCAGTCCACCCACAACTGGTTTCTCCGCCAAACCAGCTGAGTAGAGGTCAATGTCCTCTATTGTTTCGTAAATTCTACGGAAATTTCGTGTTATTGACACTGAAGTCACGCGTTCCAAATCTTTCCATGTTTTCACGGGCGATAAACCGCAGGGCTGACGCCAATTAACGTACGGAGCCAGGCCGTGGTCCCGGCCGCGTTGAATGTTTATTGCCGCCAAATCCATGCCGAATGAAAAGCCGGGTATTTGAAACAGATGATTGGTCAACTCCTCCGTTATGAATTCGTCACGTCTTTGGGATGGCTGATTCACCAGGCCAAGGAGGATACGATCCACTGAGCCCACACTTTGGAGGTCCTCGCGGTTACCGAATTCTCCGTGAATTGTTATGTCTGAAAGAAGAGAAAGGAAATGGTATCATTTCTTAGGGTCTTGTCATTCTTATTTTAGAATTACACGGACAAAAAAATTTAATAGAAAAACTTATCAAATTCGTTAGGAAATTCTATTGAATTTCTATTGAATTGTTCTATTAGTTTTTGGCCGATTCTATTGAAATGTTCAATTGAAAATGTTCAGTAGAAAAAGTCAATAGGATTCAATTTTTCTATGTAATTTATTCTATTGAGATTTTTTCTGTAGAATTTCCTCGGCTCAAATTTTCTGAGTTTCTTCGTTTGATTTTCTTGATGAGAAGAAAAGAAAAATAGAATGAAAAAAACTTAGAAAATTTGAGTCGAGCAAATTCTATAGAAAACATATGAAAAGAATAAGGTATATAGAAAAATCGAATTCTGTTGACTTTTTCTATTGAATGTTTTCTCTTGAACGTGTCAATGGAATCAGCCAAAAACTAATAGAAAGTTTAATAGAAATTCAATAGAATTTTCTAACGAATTCGATAAGTTTTTTTATTAAATTTTTTCGTGCGTGTATTGTTACATCGCTAACGTGCGTGGATATTTATGAACATTTGAAGAGTATTATTCATCGACTGGTTGGTGATAAATAAAGGCATAATTTGTGTAATTTGAGATGTCCGATTTTCCGGAACCTCAAACTTCGTGGGAGTTTCTAGGAAGTTGTAGAATCTTCTAGATCGATTCAGAGTTTTGTGGAAAGTTCGCCAATCATCGGGAAAACTCCTATTCGATAAGCGTCGATGAAGTTCTCTAGAATATTTCATACAATTCTACTATTTGTCCAAGATATTTTTAGCATATCGAGGAAATTCACAAATTTTTCGAAGGATCTAGAGAACTTTAGTGGTTTTCTAAAATAATTGAGGAAATTAAATAAATCCGGGCTTCCCTGAAAACATTCACGGGTTTCCAACAAATAAAAAAATCACCAAAAACACGTACGAAAAAAAGTGTAGAAAAAGCTTGAAAATCTCGAATGAATTACAATATTCTAATGGATTTCTATTGCACTTCTATTGAAAATTTTATTAGTTTTTCGCCGATTCTATTGAAAAGTTTGGCAGCTTTACTCTGTTTTTTTTTAATAGAAAATGTCCGGTAAAAATATTTTATAGCAAAAATCAGTATGATTTAATCTTTCTCCACAGTTTTTTATTAAGACATTTTTTATAGAAATTCCTCTACATAAACTGTCCAAGTTTTTTTTTACTTTTTTTTCTCCTCTTATTAAAAAAAATCAAACAAAAAAAATTGGAAAATGAGAGCCGAGGAATTACTCTAGGAAACATCCCAATAGAATAAATTGTATAGATAAATCAAATTCTATTGATTTTTTCAATGAAGTATTTTCTATTAGACACTTCGATTGAAGGAATTAGCGAAACAATAATAGAGCTTTAAATAGAAGTTTAATAGAACTCCAATTGAATGTTCCAACGAATCCACTAGATTTTTATGGAAAATTTTTGCGTGCGTGAATTTCAGGTTTCCTAAAAAATTCGAGGAAATTCTCATATTTTCTCAGTGACTCTTGAGGATTTTTGATTTTTCTAATTAGTCCGAGGGAATTAAAGGGTTTTTATTGAGCTTTTATTGGGTTAAAAACTGCTAGTGAATATCAGTCGGCCTGACATTCGTCAGTAAAAAAAACAATAAGCATTCAATTATGTGACTGATTGAATTAAGAATGTAAATTATTGTTCTACATAGGAAGATTGATTGAGTTGTCCTCAGAGGATCTCTAATGTTCATCGTAATGTCGACACATAAATTATTCTTTGTTTTTTCCTTTTCACTGACAACTCAGTCAGGCCAGATAATAATCATTTAAATTATTTATAGAGATACGTATTTCAAACTTCCTGATCTAGGGTCTAGATCTATATTGAGGGTAATTTCGGTAATCACCCCGGAAATCGAAAATAAAATTTAATGATATCTCCATGTTTCATGACGCCTAGTTTTTCCCTGGAATAGAAGCTCCTGGCATCATGAAAATGTCATGCAGTCTAAAGATTTGACGTTCATTTCTGGAAAAAAGTCTATATCAGTAGTGGAGTGATAAACGGAGATAGGTCGACTTATCCCCCAGTTGAGTTTTTGAGGAATATTTCCGAATCTAAGGGAGATAAGGGAAATTTTCGTAATTACATTGTTGTAGCGCTCAATCGGCTCCACAAAAAATGTCATAACAAAAATTTTGCCATCTTCCTTAGATTCCGAGATATAGATTGAAAACTGGTCAGTAGTCAGAATTGATTTCTCTCCTTTTACCACTTCGCTACTGATATGCAAGTTGTATATTCCTAGAACTGGGTTAATGACTTGAAAAAAACGTCTTGAACTAAAATCGGAAGAGTGAGCTCGTATTCAGGCAGTAGTTTCGAGTGATACTTATGTACAGCATTTGAGCATTATTGGACCAAGAGTTTCTCAAATGCATTGATATGCAAACGATGGGGTTAGCTGAATGTCTCCGGAACTGTCAGACCCATTCGGAATTTGGTTACGTCAAAGTATTCACCATGGCCATAGCGCTGGTTAAATAACACAGAAACGTGAGGGTCGAACAATCGAGGTCAACTAGTGATAAGGAACTTGAAGTAAATAGGAGACGAAAAAAAGTTGAGATAGATAACATTTCCTGGTCCTCACGCGTTGCTCTGTTTATTGATTGCCGATATCTGTGAGAAACGGAATGAACAACTTCCCATAGTGGCAAATCTCAGAGTTATTGCCACTTTTCCATCTTCATAGAATGCTCCATTCTATTCATGATGACTCAGAGACTTTTTCAGCTGAATCGGTACTTGAAATTCAATGAAGTTTCCACTCTTATATGCGAGGGGCTGACCACTCCTCAATCGAGTGACTCAGTGATTTCAAAATGGGATGATTTCCTATGGTTTCTTGAATGATTTCAGTGATTTCTCAATAAGAATTGAAAACCATGATTTCTTTTGTTTTTTCGTGATTTCCATGATTTCTGGTAGATTCTGATGATTTCTTGATTTCAAGAGGATGCTGTCACATGGCGATGAAAGTATTATCTGACGAATGTAGGTTTATAATCCAAACTGAAGGCGAGAATAATACTTTTATCGCCTAATGACATAATGTACTATGACGAACATAATTTTTCTTCACGCGGAGAGAAATATTCAATAAAAATTACGTATCTTTTCCATAATTTCGGAGCGAAATGTGGTTGTAGGAAATTTAATGGAACTGTCACGGAATTTTTCCAGAGCGTTCCATACACGGAGAGAAATTTTTTAGATAAAATTTTAGTGCTAGCACGGGAAAAGAAGCGCAAAGTGACGGCCAGGAAAAAATTCTAGTGCCGGCACCAGAAATTTTATTGGAGAAAACGTGAATTTTTCCCCGTATTTTTGTGAAAATTTCACAGAAATCCCCAGAAATTTTACCAGAAATACCAAGAAATTTTTCCTTAACAGCACTAGAATTTTTCACAGCCGGTGAATTGTAATTTTTTCCAGTACTCGTACAACAATTTTTCTAGAAAATTTCTCTCCGTGTAATTTTCACCTGAATCTCCTGTGAAAAATTACGATACCGTCACTTAAATTTTCTGAGTCGATTCCGTAATCGGTGAGCGAACTGTGAGTTCCGTAATTTTTATTGAACAGTTCTCTCCGTGTAGTGCCCGTAAACGGTGTTTGACGGACACGAAGTGTCCGTAAAATAACGCTTTACGGACAGTGTAATGAAAACGCTATAAGGGTTCAATACATTTTTCGTTGAATTGAATGGCACGGATTTCAATCCCACGGGTATCAATCTGCTCGAGAGATACAATCATAAAGATGTATCACTTTTACGTTACATTTCTCATAGAAATATGGCAATAGGGATAGGGTGATCAACCACCCCAGTGTATCCGTAGGAGGAACGTTCAGGTGTATCCGTTGAGGGTTAAAATTGTCTCAATGCCAGAATATTCGTGTTATTAGCGAAATATAAGCACCTGCCAAGGTCCATACTGGGAGAAGAATTTTCTCAGAGATCGGACATATTTACTTGAGACAAGCATTTTTTTTCAGTCGCTCGATTCTCCCAGACATCACATCTCACGTCGCTCAAGTGAGGTCTTATGCAATATATTCTTGTCCTCGTGAATGATTTTGTCGCCCATGAAATTGCCCAAGACGCATACAAAAAACAACACCATACAAATCTCACAATATTCAGTCCTAAAAATTTCTTTATTCAATCCGGCGCCTCTACACGGAGAGAAATGTTCAGTAAAAATTACGGAACTCACAGTTCGCTCACCGATTACGGAATCGACTCAGAAAACTTAAGTGACGGTGTCGTAATTTTTCGCATGAGATTGAGATAAAAATTACGGAACTCACAGTTCGCTCACCGATTACGGAATCGACTCAGAAAACTTAAGTGACGGTGTCGTAATTTTTCGCATGAGATTGAGATAAAAATTACGGAACGCTCTGGAAAAATTCCGTGACAGTTCCGTAAAATTTCCTACAACCACATTTCTCTCCGAAATTACGGAAAAGATACGTAATTTTTATTGAATATTTCTCTCCATGTATTTGATCTGAGTGGGATCGAATCAAGTCGCGAATCAACTCATTTGAAGCAGATTTTTAGATTCATATTCACTTGTTTGGGCGGTAATTACATGAATAATAGTGATTTTCGGTCATTTTCCATCCTTGTCTGAATGAAAAAATTAATAACCGCCGAATTACGGCGAAAGACTAACTCTAACTGACGCCAAAATTCTTGACATTTTATTGACAATTTTTGGTGAAAATTTTAGATTAAAAATAACGAGCTTTTTGAGTAATTAACGTTAAAAAAAACGTTTTCTCCTATAAACCCCGTTAAACTGAAGACAATGTAATAATGTATAACGTCTAAATTTGAGGAATTTTTCATGTTCTTTAAGTGTACCAAAGGGCGATTTAATAGCTTGAAACCTCTCAGATATATTGGGGCCAATTTGGATAAAAAAAATTTTTTGGACAAAAATTGGCAATTTTCAAAAAATCATAACTCTCAATTATCCATATTTTTCAATCGTTCTCTTTTTGAAATTTTTGTCTAATCGCCGTCTCTTCAGAAAAAAATGAAACAAAAATCCCCAGCATCACCTTTTTTGACCTGCTGATTTGGCGTGGATCTTATGTATAAACTATCTGAAAATTTATTTAAGCCCCCTAAAAAACCACCACTGCGAGATTTAAATAACGAAAGAAAAATTAGGTCCTTAAAGTTAATATCTTCTCTATCATCTAAGAAAATATTCCTCTCGGACATTCAGGACATTAATATTCACATTTCTCGGAAATTCGTATTCCCGTATGATAACCACGCGGAATTTCTGCCTGGATGATTCACGTTCAGTAGAATTATAGTTACATGATATCGAGGCTCAGGTGGATATGGCAGTGAAATATTACGGCTGTATTTTACCGTTCTACGAGTTGAAGAAACCGAATTCGTCGACGTTTTTTGTCTAATGGCGTGTAAACACAAATGGTTAACGCTTCAATTTTTCAAGTGGAGTTCTCTCGAAATCCATTGTGGGGTAAGAAAAAAAAGCTGGAAAGAAACATCTTCCTCTCAGCAAATTGAGCACATTTGTTCCTGGGTATTTTTGGTCTATTCCGATTATCTAGGGAGATACGAGGGATTGAAGGAGCGGCCCAGGTTAATGTTGAGCTCTGTATAATACCGGGTAGCGTGTTGTACGCATTTCTCCGTCAAATTTCACGCATGAATATTCATCCCATAATAATCAAGATACCCAAAACATATATTGTACCGAATGTATTCAATTTGAACCCTGAGGTGCTGGCGCACTGCGTTGGTGGGCAGACTTAGCATTGAGCACCTGAGCATACTGAGAAAAAATTTTCTTTTTGGCAAGTACGGTTTGACTTCTATCAAAAAACTCATGGTTCGAAAATTGACAAGAAGAAAATATCTTGGAAAAAAATTTTTTTTTTTAAATCTTCCACTGAGAAGGAAAAAACTTTCGTCAAGAGATTTTGTACTTGACCCAAAGATGAGGATAACTTGTTTATGATAAGAAAGTGACTCCTCAAACCAAGTCTAGTTGAATCAATTTATTCAATAAATTTTTAGTTTCAAATTTGGAATATTTTGATGCAAAAACCACGTGACTTGGTTCGAGAAGTTGCTGTCTTGTGAACAAATTTCCCCTCATCTTTTGGGCAAGTACAAAATCGCTTGACGAAAGGTTTTTTTCGGTGTCAGATATTTTCTTCTCGTCAGTTTTCGAGCCATGAGTTTCTTGATAGAAGTAAGGACGTACTTCTCAGTGGTAATACCCCAAGAGCTCCAAAGGGTGTCAAGTTTTGCAGAAAAATCTCTCACGCCAGCACCCGGAATTTTTAGACCTGCAAGTTTTGTCAAGTTTTGCAGGTTGAAAACTCCCGAGCACTTGCACGAGGGATTTTTTTGCAAAACTTGGCACGATTGGTCACCATATGAAGGAAACACCGCAGCGCGTCGTTTTTCGTTAATTACCATTGACTGGATAACCGGGAAAATTTAAAAAAATTGTCTTTTTCAATTGAAGTGTATAACACATTATAGTGATTTCCAAACAACATAATTCCCAAAATTTCAAAAGAAAATGAATCATTTCCAACAGAAGAATTTTTTTCCCGTGCTAAATGAAATGGCCCGTCACGCAACGTTGCCAGAAACTCGCAAAACGCGCCCGGGCAGCGTAGAGTAAATTTGGCAGCGTTAAAGACTGAATAACACGGCGGTACATTCCCGCGAAGGTGACAAAGTCGCTGGGACGCGTAGGGTGACCGGACTGGGGTTAAATGTATTCAATTTGAAAGAGAAGATCTTTCTTTCTATTTTTCATTTTCCATTCTCAGTAATTTCGGAGAAAGGTACGTTTATAGAATCTCGTGTTCCCGCAGGTCTGGGCTGACAATATTCAGTAGCGAAGCGGTAAAACGGTTAAAGTCAACTTAGTTCTCACCTGAGTTTTTGAGAAATATCTCCGAATCTAAAGGAGATAGCGAAATTTCCTTTGAAATTACCTTTTTCGTAGCTCTCAATTCGCTTTACAAAAAAAGTTATAACAAAAGTTTTGTTGCCTTAGATTCATTGAAGTTTAGTTGCCGAGATATTCATTGAAAACTGACCAATAGTCAAAATCTACCTGAGGATATCTAAGTACTTTGGCTACTTTATTCTCCAGTGAAATGCTTTTCTACTTTTGTAGTCGAAAATCAGAGCTTTCATTTGAGCCCCATCTCAACCCAAGTTTCCAGACATTTTATGATGATTTTATCATTTAAACTTTGCAATTCGGAATTTGAATCTCGATATTGAACCGCTAGAAAACATTTTAAAAATCTGAAAAAAAAAATAGAAAGTTTACTTTTGGAGAAAGATTGATGAAATAGTTGAAAAATTGCAATTTTCGAAAATTACGAGTATTTTCTGTTAATAATTTATAAACAATCAATTTCCCACCATAAAAATCATTTGATCGGAAACGTAACAAATTTATTCCTACTCAAAATTTTACCAGAAATCGACTTCATGCCTGAACAAATAAGGTTTCCGAAAGTTTGAACAATTTCAATTATTTATGTAAAAACAGCGAATGTTTTAAAAAATCATAATTCTGTGCAAAATGTAATTTGAATGACGCTGATTATTCATAATTTTTTACAATATTTCTCACGGAATTTAATTGACAAATTTGATGATTGAAAATGGTTGAATCTATAGTGTGGTCTGTACCAAACTGTAAAAGATACTTGGATATCCTTAAAGATATCAAAGAAGAGGTAGTTTGGCTATTTATTCTCCAGTGAAATGCTTTTCTACTTTCGTAGCCAAACATGAGAGCTTTCATTTGAGACCCACTTCACCCCAAGTTTCCCGACATTTTACAATGATTTTATTATTTAAACTTTACAAGTCGGAATTTGAATCTCGATACTGAACCGTTAGAAAACATCTTAAAAATCTAAAAAAATTATTGATGAAAACCTTAAAAAATTGCAATTTCTGAAAATTACGAGCATTTTCTGTAAATAACTTATAAACAATCAATTTTTCAGCACAAAAATCATGTGTTCGGAATCGTAACAAATCTATTCATATCCACAATTTTACCAGAAATCGATTTCATGCCTAAAAAAATAAGGTTTCCGAAAGTTTAAACAATTTCAATGATTTATTTAAAAACAGCGCATGTTTTTAAAAAATCAATTCTGTGCAAAATGTAATTTGAATGACGCTGATTATTCATCATTTTTTCCAAATTTTTCTCACCAAATTTAATTGACAAATTTGATGATTCAAAATGGTTGAATTTATAGTGTGGTATGTACCAAAGTGTAAAAAATACTCAAATATCCTTTGACCGCTTCGCTACAGATCTACCAGAATACGCACTATTATTTTGCAATCCCCATAATCCCCACGAGGATGAAGCATTATTGCGCATGAAGTAATTCAAAGTTATTCCACCTTCAGTGAAAAAAAAAATCATGACTCACTATCGAATATCACACGATGATCCCTATCGTATCGGGCGAAACTAGGCTGAACCAAAGAGTGTCCAAATCGATACGCCGCAGCGGAGAATGAATTGGCTATATTAGGATTGCTCGTTGAATCATATCCCTTGTAATATCCATCCCTCACCAGCTCGAGATCGAAAATTCTCATCACTTCCGGTCCTTGAAAGTGGAAACATTTATGAAAGATATGCAAATGCATGGTGATTTAGAGAAGAAATATTAAACGAAATAGTGTGCTGGCTTACCGAGGACAATGGGTAAATATTCCCTGTATGTAACATGCTGCACCAGTGCACCAACGATTTTACGACTCTCCTGAAACAGTTTCTCGTCACTCCAGTGGGAATTCAGTGCAGCCAATTCGGTGGCTATTCTATTATGCAGTCTGAGAAAAACTACATGGAGTGACGTGAGAGCGGGTTGTTCACTCAAACGGGCATCACCAGCTCGGAAGCAATTCGTTGATAATGAACCACGTCGACAGAGGTCATCTGGCTCACCTTTTGGGAGTAGTGGCTTTCGAGACTGAATTTTTCCGTACTGCAAGAGACCTTAGGGGAAATTAAATTTTCTTTATTTCACGTTCGACTTTTGACTTTAAAACAGAATTCTCAATTCCCAGAGCTGTATAAATGATTTATGGGAATCGAATAGGTTTTATTTCAGTTACTTTATCTCATTCGAATATACTTTCCATTAAAAACTCGTGAAATAGGAGATTGATTCCCGGCGAATTGACCTTTGGTTGAATTTAAAATAGCAATCTATCAAAATCAGTAAATACATTTTTTTATTTCATTAACGAAGAGCATTGGTTTTTAGAATTGGAAAAAGTATCTATTTTATTCGACAATGAATAAATTTGTTTTAATCAGAAGAGAATATTTCTGAATAATAAAAAAGGGTTATTTATTTCGAATAAAGAAGCTTCCATGAAAAATTGTATTCTTCGTTTATATGGCCCATTTTGCTCAGAGCGCTAATTCACTTCAAACCAATGACCTTCTTCCATTAAATTTCTTTGTTATAAAACCGGTGAATATATTTACCGTTCCGAAAGATCCGCAGGCTATCGCTGTGCACAGCATTATTGCTGTAAACCATCGATGCATCTATGAAACTTGTGACCTGGGATAACTGCTCACGCGGACCAAAGCCACAATTTTCTCTAGGTGCTGGCCCACTCCTCACAAATTCCAGGCATCTCACACCGTGCCTCCCAAAGAATCGATCCTGTGGATTAACTATGATGGGGAGGCAATCAGGATGCTAAAATTTCATTATCATCATTATCAAATTCTCGAGAGTATAACGTTACAAAGGAGAAATGGTCAAGTACCATGAATTCCGGTGGTTGGAATTCGGCTCCGCGATTCCGACAGCACTGGGGGAATGTGCCGTTGAAGCCTCGGGACTGTGCAGCCGCTGAAATATAGGATTCCTTATCGTAAAGAGGTGGTAAAAAATATAGGATTTCTGGTTATCTCCGGATTTTTTTATTACACATTCACCGGGGGATATTTTATAAAAAGGGTATAAGAAAAGAGTTTCAGAGTGAGATATGAAAAATTCTCATATATTTCGCGATTCCTCAGTCCTTGAAACATGTTTGGAATAATAAATTTACAAATCAGTAGCGAAGCAGTAAAACGGTTCGAGTCGATCTTGAGTATTGGCCAGTTTTCAATCAATATCTCAAAATCAAACGGAGATAGCAAAATTTTTGTCACGACCTTTTTTGTAGAACTCATTGAGGGCTACAAAACAGGTTATTACGAAAATTTTGTTATCTCCTTTAGATTCGGAGATATTGCTCGAACACTTAGCTAAGGGTTTCCGCTTATCTCCAGTTTTTTTTCTACTACTCATTCATCGGAGAATATTTTATAAAAGGGGTATAAGAAAAAGGTTTCAGAGTGAGCTATGAAAAATTCTCATATATTTCTCGAATACTCAATTCTTGAAACGTGTTTGGAATAATAAACTTGCAAATCAGTAGCGAAGCGGTAAAACGGTTCAAGTCGATTTTGAGTATTGGCCAGTTTTCAATCAATATCCTGAAATCGAACGGAGGTAGCAAAATTTTTGTCATGGCCTTTTTTGTAGCCCTCAGTTCGCCCTACGAAAAAGGTCATTAAGAAAATTTCGTTATGTCTCTTAGATTCGAAGATATTTCTCGAAAACTCAGCTAAGGGTTTCTGCTTATCTCTAGTATTTTTTACTACTCATTCACCAGGGAATATTTGATAACAAGGGTATAAGAAAAGTGTCAGTGAGATATGGAAAATTATCATATATTTCTCGAATACTCAGTTCTTAAAATGTGTTTGGAATAATAAACTTGCAAATCAGTAGCGAAGCGGCAAGACGGTTCAAGTCGATTTTGAGTATTGGCCAGTTTTCAATCAATATCTCGAAATTTAACGGAGATGGCAAAATTTCTGTCATGGCCTGTTTTGTAGCCGTCAGTTCGCCCTACGAAAAAGGTCATTACGTTATGTCCCTTAGATTTGGAGATATTCCTCGACAACTCAGCTAAGGGCTAAATAAAGTTGAACTGTTTTACCGCTTTGCCACTGAAATTTTATTAAAAATTCAGATATTCGTCGTTATATCAGTCGTTTGCCCCCGCTAATATCCCATAATTTGCCCCGTTATTGATTTCGCAACGAAATACTTCCCCCAAAATTATATTTATCTTTCACCAGTGATATCATGATCGACGAACTGTCCCCACTGCATTAGCATGTGCGTGACTGAAGCAAGCGGAATATTCCTATCCTCATGTATTAAAACGGAAATATCGCGTGGACTTGGCAGTGGCCGTCCGGTTCTTCGTGATCTCCTTATGGACTCAATTCCATCACCATAAACTGGATCTAAAAATCTTCATAAACCGTCGTCTTTAGTACGTAAGAAAAGTTTTCCCCCTCGTGAAAAATGGCTCTTAATAATACCTCTGCATTGTAGACATGGCCGAGCCCCACCACAAGTGCTCTAGATTATTGCAACTTCCGTCGGCAGTTCGGTATTTTTGACTCGCTGGTGGGCAATTGGGGTGATCATTTCTAGGGCATCGTTCGCGAAATCCAGCCCTTCGGAAAGTCCAGGTGGACGTGGCCTCTCTCACGAGTTGACTTGTTACAGGATCTGTCATATTTGCATACCTGGGAATAACAGTTACTCATTAAAGAAAGAGATGAAAAATTGTTACTACTTTACTGTTGAAAATTTTCCGCCGAAATTTCCAGTAACAATCTTGGAAATTTCTAACAAGTAACATGTCCACTGAAATTTCAAGGAATTTTGTCGTTGACAATTCATAATTTTATGGAGAAATACATGAATTCCAAATTCCTCTGAATTTTCTGAAAATTCAATTGCCTGAAAATTCAAGGGAATTTGGCAGTGAATATTCATTTTCACTCGAAAATTCAAGTAAATTGGGGAATTTCCGTCTTTCTGCCGCTAAAAAAATGGGACTTCACTTGAAGTTTCGAGAAACTTGAAATTCGATTGACTTTTACCCTTTAAATCAAATTCAAGGTCTTTTTTCCGAAAAATTTAGCCAAATTTCTTTGTGAAACGAAGTGTTCACTGCTGCAAATTTTTCACGAAAATTTGCGGTGAGGGTCTTGGAAATTTCTAACATCCTTTTCACTGAAATTTCAAGGAATTTTGTCATTGAAAATTCATAATTTTATGGAGAAATTCGTGGGAACTGTAATTTTCAGTTTAATTATTTCGGAGGAATTAATAAAAAATCAGGAAAATTGAGAAAAATCTTCTTGCATTCCAGATTTCTCTGAATTTTCAGGGAATTTGGTAGTGCATATTCATTTTCACTTGAAAATGCATGTAAATTGGGGAATTTCCGTCTTTCTGTCGCTAAAAAAATGAGACTTCACTTCAAATTTCTCTGAAACTTTAATTGACTTTTACCCTTCACATCGAATTCAAGGTCTTTTTCCTTAAAATTCAGTCAAATTATTTTAACACTGTTCACTTTTAAAAAATTTTCACTGAAATTTTCAGTAAAGGTCTTGGAAATTTCTAACAAGTAACATTTCCACTATAATTTCAAGGAATTTTGTCATTCAGAATTCATAATTTTAAGGAAAAATCCGTGAGAACTGTCAATTTTAGTTTAATTATTCCGGGAAGATTGATGAAAAATCAGGAAAATTCAAAGAAATCTCTCCCTAAACTCCAAATTCTTCTGAATTTTTAGGAAATTCCTTCAAAAATTCTAGGAATTCCGAGCATTTTAAAGGAATTGTCCGAAAATTCGAAGGAATTTGGCAATGAATATTCACTTTCACTTGAAAATTTATGTAAATTGTGGAATTTTCGTCTTCTGCTGCTAAAAAAATGGGACTTTGCATAACTTTTTAGAGAAACTTGAAATTCCATTGACTTTTACCCCTTAAATCGAATTCAAGGTCTTTTTCCGGAAAATTCAGCCAAATTTTTTTAACACTATTTACTAATGAAAATTTGTCACTGAAATGTCCAGTAAGGGTTCTGGAAATTTGTAACAAGTGTCATGTCCCTTGAAATTTTATGGAGAAATCCGTGGGAAAAATCAAGAAAATTCAGAAAAATCTCCCGTTGAATTCCAGATTCCTCTGAATTTTTAGGAAATTCCTTCAAAAATTCCTGGAATTCCAAGACCTTTAAAGGAATTGCCTGAAAATTCAAGGAATTTGGCAGTGCATATTCATTTTCACTTGAAAATTTACGTAAATTCTGGAATTTTCCTCTTCCTGCCACTAAAAACATGGACTTCAGTTGAATTTTGAGAGAAACTTGAAATTCCATTGACTTTTATCCCTTAAATCAAATTCAAGATCATTTTCCGGAAAATTCGTGTAAATTTTTTACTAGTATTCTTCTTCGTTAATCAACATACTTTTCTGCAAGTTTCCCAGAGCCTTTGAGCGCTGCATATGCGACTTTAGCCAAATCCTTTGCTTCCTCTGATTGACGATTGAATGCTGCAACGTACCGCGCTGGATGCTCATCCGCTAAAAATACTCCTGTAAAAAGAGCGAAAGAAAAATACAAAATTGAAGGGTCAATTGGCTTGTTAGTTTCCACTTCAATTACTTCCATTATTACCATTAGAAAACAACTTGGGCTCCTCAATGTCATACAGTTGATTCATCGCCTTTATTCCAAACTCCTCAGCTAAATAAAAATCCTTCTCCAGCCCTTCATCCAAGCCTGAATTGGACGGCTTTCCTCTCTCCTCTTTTTCAGTATAATTTTTAATCTCTTGAACCGATTGTCCGGTCAACTGGACGATGACGCCGCCAGCCAAGAGTATTCTGATGAGAGATCTATAAATTCTCCCATTATTTTGTTTGTTTTTATTCCACCATAGTTTCATATATCCGCAACACAAATACAAAGGATCAAGTATACGGATAAAATCCTAACGGTTACTAACGGTATTTTCGCGAAGTAAATTGATTGAGAAAAATAAAAAGTTCATCACAATTCCCAAGAGCGTAAAAACAAAACTTACTTCAAGTCCCACATGTTATCGACCAAAGGGTAAGCATTCGTTCAATGAACCAAACTATATGAGAAAGGAATCTTAGTAATTGATGTCGGGGAAAGAATTAGTTATCCTGGTGGAGAGAGATCGATGAACGTGAGGGACAAACTAACTGATATTGAATCGAACCAAGTCGTCTTAGCCGCCTCTTTCGCACTGGGATACAGAATATCGCTCGGGGCAATACCTTGACGCCTCTTTGCTCACTTGATTCGTGCATTTTTTTACTGTTACCGTTGGCCGAGTCCATCGAACGACGGCCCACTGGGGTACGTTGGGGGCTTCTGGGTGAGTCGGTGGCACCATGTTTCACCGTCACCCATTGCCATACCTGATACCTCAACACTCACATCTATTCGGCTCGATTGAATGTGTTTTTTTTTCGTTGCAATGCCATCAAAAACACAGTGTCATCCATTTATCATCAAATAAATCAGAAGTCAATAGTAGAGAAGGGACTCACCTCGTCATGATTAATGTTTGGCAGCTCGCTCACGAGCTTGGAGATTAGCAATAGCCTTGCCCGAGCCATACAACACTTTGGCACGTATCTGCACCTTTCTTCCTGACGTTGCTGCACCACTGTAAACATAATTCGCCGATTCTCCAGTTGATTGGCTTGGTAGGCCACAAGAATTATTATTGACACTTGAAATCCCCTTTGAATTGAACGACGTGGGTGGACCAATGTCCAAACAACCCACGTCATTTCCATCCCTGGCGCAAGTTCGACACCATCTGCAGCCCTCTGACATTTTCCTCGACTACTGGATTACTATGGAAATTCAACAAAAACTTTTTATAAATTTTTTGTAAAAACGTAACACTCTGGAGTACAGCAACGTTTGGTATCATCGGGCCAACTGATCGGCCAACGACAGTCCCAATAGCATATAAAACGTTGACGGTGGTTCGCTTTGGTGGTATGACCTGGCCCAGTATCCGTGGATCCGTCCACGGTCCATGAGTCCTCTCAGTGCACGGCCTATTCCCCTTTCTCGTGTGTCCCACAGCGCCGGAATTCAACTGCAATTACTTCACCAATTTTATTGAACCTTTGACAAATATTTTTCCATTGTTATGCAGATCGATATTTTACGTTAATTGGCACTTGAGTGGGTGAGTTTTGATGATGTTTTCATGGCGATTGTAGATGCTTGCCAGTGTAAAGAGAACAGAGAAGGGGCTTGGGAGGGGATGAGAGAACTCCAACTGGGTCAGCAGGCTTGTAGGTCAGGAATACCACGTGATACCACCTGCAATGCCCGTTGGGCCGCATTGGAAATGTTTTCAAGTGTCCTTTTTCTTTATTTTTCATTGGCTATTGGTTTCGTTAAACGAATGGTAACAGTCAGTTTTTTAACACGGGTTAAAACGTTGTATACGTTTTATTCAATCTCAACATGTCTTACATTCTTTTTGTTTCATCAGGAATTAAAATAAATTATAATTCTTTTATCAACATCGATTGCCAATTTTACACCACCCCATTTTCATTCTCATACTTGCGTAATATATATTGATTCAATTTTTAGTAAATCTTCAGTTATAATTCGATGATCTTATTATTGGTGTTACCTTAGTTCGTTCGAGTTTAATTACTCGATATACGTCTAATTTTTAATTTTTGCATTGTTGCCATTTAATATCTTATATTTAACACTGATAGACACGAAGAAACAGCCTTTTCAAAAATGATCGCATCACGACGCTTTTGTCTCTCGATACAGTCATACTGCGTTCAATTGGACAGAAATTGGAGTTTTTCCTTTTTCAATAAATTTGTTTACATTGATCAATATATACAGATCACATACATAAAAATATGAGAAAGTTATTTGACTTGGAATGGACAAAATTCAGATCACACTGCCATCAGATTCTTCTTTTTTTTGCATTAAGGTACATTTGTGGTTCCTTTATAATCTCTTGCTCTCTCTCTCTCTCTCTCCCTGTTCACACTCTGTTCGACAATATTTCTCTAATATTTATTTTCACTTGTTCTCTAAAATTTACAACTTAATTGTTGCATTTAAAATTGGTGGACGTTTAAATTCGTGAACACCCGTTTTTACTACGGACGATGCCCGATCGATATATCACATTGATTAATTATTCATTGATAATCATGACTTTGAAAATAGACATATATTAGACTATCAATAACACACAATGGACGTCTATCATCTCTCATAATTAGCCTCTTCCCACAAGTTTTCAGTGACAATTCTGTCACACAAACCGATGTTTATCATTTTTCATTTTAATGGACTTTCATTTTCTAAACATAAAAGCTCAATATTTACAATACAATTCGTAATTTGTTGTTACTATACCCGTTAATTGAATAACAGTAAATAAATCATAAACAACAACAATGGCCTATAAAATAATGTGTATATGCTTAGGTCACCCTTTGTACAATTTCTCCAATATCTCTTATTTTCCCCCATTTTCATTTTTTTTACTTTCAATTCCTTAGAATTAAATACATAAATCAAAGATTCTTCGTTTTTATCCTACAGCAGTCTATGATTTACCATCTCTTTGCTAGTTCAGATAATTCAGTTATATGTATACGATCTAATATTTTTTAAATTGATCACTCGAGATCATAGTGGCTAGTCACTTGACTAAAGAATATTGATATTACCCTTTATGTACAAAAATATAAAAATCGATACTGATGGTGTACTGAAGATAAAATGAATATAATGAAAACTATTTATCTTACATTACCAGTGATGACGTAAAAAAATACAATGAAACACGGGACATTTAATAAATAATGGAATGATGAAATTAATGAAAAATGAAACCAACTTTACCAAATTCAACGAATAACTGCAGTCGTACAATTATTGACTCGAGGAAATTTGTAAATTCCAATTTGAATCGCTACAAATAAGCGGTGTGTTTACTGCTGTGTTCGAGTGCTGCCAGTACATCCTGCTTGAGTCTAACGTACAATCTCCCCTTCTTCCATGGATTCTGCAGTTGAAGCGGTTTGAAATCATCCCTCAAGCATCTCTCCCGCGCACCAATAACCGCAACCAGACAGAAGTTTGGTAACTCCTCATTCGTGTAAATTGGTCCTTGCTGACCCTTAAGCACAACAGCCATGTTAAGCTGCTTAACAACCAGATCAACAACTTCCCTAGCTGTCGTTCTCGGTGTAACATGTAGTTTGAGACTGGTACCAGCTGCAAGACCCGTTTCATATGCAGCAAACACTTGTAGTATACCAGGCAATGGTGCTGGCATTGTAATCGACGTTTGGTCCTTCGTTTCATCGTTATTACTCTGATTGGGATCCGGTAATGAGCAACTTGCCACCGATGCAACACTGGCACTTGGTTTTGAGCTCTTAGTTTTCATTCTCACTGTCGAAGTGCTCTGCTCACCACTGCAATCATCACTCAATGAGTTTAAACTATTGGTGCTATTTGCGTTACTAGTAGCTGTATTGACGCTCAATAAACTCGTTGTGTTGGTTAATGCCATTTGATTCGTGGACCCTATCAATGTATTACCATACATGGGTTTACTAATGAGCTGAGGACTTGTCGAGGCAGACAGAGTCATCGATACAGTTGATCGGGTCGATTCACGACTCTTCGACATATGCCTGTACTGGCTGAGCAGCAGAGTGTCCTCGGATTTGGATGGGGGTAGTAATTTCGTTACCGCCCCGTCCCTAATGCCAAGCCCAGATACTGATGTATGATAACTGGGATGGCTTGATCGAACTGGCTCAGAGACTGTTGAATAATTTGACGTATCACTGCCTTTTCTCGAATGTCTATCGTCAATAATAGACGGCGTTAAAGCCTCTTCATGGTGAATCAAAGGGATTTGATTGTCAACTTGTCCCTCAGCACTGTGGCCACCGCAAGGTAGTTGCTGCTCACTCTTGCTGAACTCTGTGGTCAACAAATTAGTCGCTGAACTTGAGATGTTTGGTCCCGGCCAACTGCCCCTTCCTGGACTTGATTTAACGAGTTTCGGATCGCGCGGCGGTAGTTGCAATAAACTTCTCTTCAAACCATTCGTTTTATTATGACATCTCTCAATGTTCAATAAATAACGCATAGAGATACCAGCTGGTGAGTTCAACAGTGTTGGCGCTGAATTGGAATTGTTGGCCATGAGTCCTGCGTACTGCGACGAGCCCCGATCCCTTGCAAAAGTTATGACATCAATTAACCACCTAGCACCCTTCCAAATGGCATTCATTTGTGTCTGGAGTTGTTCAAGCCTCGATAATTTGTCCTTGGCAACGCTGACCTCGATCGAACTAAATGCCTCACGATGACTGTGCTGTGCCTGAGCTGTATCCAACTCCAGTATACAACTCAGTCGTGAATATCTGTTTATAACATCCTTTTGATAAGTATTTAAGTGCACCATTTCAAATATTTGAATGGGTAATGAGAGAAGATCATCGCGTTGCAAGAGAATTTCCCTTGTACCTGGCACTGAACAGGCTGTTTCGGCGGGCGGTACGACGATGAGAAATGATACCTCATTAGTGAGTTCAATCACTTCAGCATCATACAGCCTGTGAATTAATGAATCCTCCGAGTTCACCTGCATGTATGTGAACAAACGTCTCGCAGTAGCTGATACGAGATCGACAAAGAGTTTTTGCTGCTCGTTACCTTGATTCTTACCCCATTCACTGTCATTATCGTAATCATAATCATTCTCCTTCTCCTCGTCTCTCTCTTTATCCTTGGATTTATCATCGCTACGTGCCTGAATTCGGGTTATTTTTTTAAGATAATCCCACTCTTCAGCTGATACGTGTGGATTATCACGTACTTTACAGTGAGGAAGAGAATTTGGGGCTTTTGATGGAACGACTATTTGTATCAGATCAACGCTACTCTGCATTTTCAAGTAGCCGAGGTATAGGCCCTTACTCAGTTTAACACTACTCAACTGATGATAAGCCATTTGGTCCTTGATGCTCATCATCAATATGTCGGCTACATTGCTGTCCTCATGTATTGTAATCTTCTTTTTGACTTTGTTCAATGGTAACCATCGGCTATTAAGCACTGACACTAATTTCGGTGATTTGATATAGTTAATTGTTGATAAAACAAGAGTACCCTGGACATCTCTGATAGGCTTATGATATACTTGCCCCAAGTCCTGAATGCACAGTGCCGTTTGCATTTGCGCAGCAGCCTGCAGTAATTTAAGACGGAAGTGATTCGTTGAGCTGCTGTGACTCTTCTCCATGTCTTGTTTCAATGTTTTAACGTCTTCCCACGTACACGCCACCTTCATTAACCAGTGATAATCACTGTAAATACAGCTTGGATAGGTTTCATCCACTTCAATTACTGGCAAGAAGTCTTCATTCGTCACTAATACTTTGTCCTCATTGTACAGCACACAGGCAAGGTAAACGCCGCGTCTCAGACTCTTCTGGAATTTACTCGTTGCTGTAAAAAGTTGCTTTATCGTTGTTTTCTTCTTGTGATTTCGTCGCTGTAAAGCTGGCGTATCTTGGGTATATTCAGGTCGTTTTATGTCCGTGAAAAGTGAATCCAATTGTTCCAAACGACCAGCAAACCTCGGCTGCCTTCCATCAACGTCACGCCAACCTTTTTCCAATAAAAAAGAAAATGGAGAAAAAGGAGAGAAAAAGGCATTTTAATTAAGCTTATTCCTGTCTATTTTTGGATTGTAAATTAGAGTGGTAGAAAATATACGTACTGCTTGGTATCACGCTGCATGGACTCGAAATAATAAATCTACTGTATCCCTTGAGATTACCCGCGCAAGCTCGGAAGTAGTATCTTTGCCCCTGAATGAGTCCATCGATGCGGCACTCACGCTGTTTCATATCGAATACTTCTCTCTCTCCATTGACTATCGAGAAATCTTCTTTTGTACTCCATTGTACTTTGAATTTAGTACATACGTAAGAGTCATGTGTTTCGGTCTCTTGAAAGCGTACTGAGACCGACTTTGTCTCTATTACGTCGATACTTGTCATAAACGGCACGTCTGGAGGCCCTGGAGAATATTTTTCACCAATGAATAATGCGAAGTGGTAGAACTTTACGCTGAGAGGAAAAATTAGCTCTGCCGAAAAATGTTCTATACCTTCCATGTGAGAATATTTGATGGAGTGGAACAGATTTACTTGAGGGATATTGACCAAGTTGATAGTTAGTATTTTCAATGACGGTTAACGTGAAAGTTTGAAATTTGTGACTTATTGTGTTTATTGTATTTATTCATATATTTATTTCATTTTTAATGAGTATGAGACGATTAAACGAGGTTTAATGATTATCATTGATTCGGTTATATTGGTTTGTGACGATTATTGATAAGATTTTTAATTTTTGATACGTTTGGAGGTCTGCGTAATGCCTCAACATCTCACGGCATAAGAGTTGTGCAATGGAATAACGCCCTGATGAGGAGAATATTTAGTTCTCGAAAAGTTGGCGATTGGAATAATAAGGGATTCTTCTTTTTTCACCTTTATTGAATTTATTAATATCGCTGATATTGACCGCATAATGGCCTAGTCGAGAAGGAGATGTGTTAATGAGAATTGGAGCGGTTGGAATTTGTCTAATATCAAGTTGATAGAAGGAAATGTAAGACTTTTCGTTTACTTTTTGTTTCCGAGTAAACAAAAGGCACTCTTCGGCACGAAGTGAACGTAGCAGCAGTGTCAAAATAGTATTTTATGCCACTCATGCCTGAAACCGGCTGGATGACACACTCGACGCTTCGCGTCTCGTGTCTAATTCAGCCGGTTTCAGGCTTCGTGACATAAAATTTTATTCAGTACTTGTGAGGAAATTTCGTCCTTAACGTGTGTGGTTACATCACTCGCCTTCGGCTCATGCTGTAAACCCCACACACGTTAAAGACGATATTGCCCCACACGTGCTGAAATATACTATTCCGGCCTGTTGCGATGGGGGCTCGCCTACGGCTCGGAGGCCAACGCCACACGAGTAAAAAACCCCATCGCAACAGGCCGGAATAGTATATTTCAGCACGTGTGGGGCAATATCGTCTTTAACGTGTGTGGGGTTTACAGCATGAGCCGAAGGCGAGTGATGTAACCACACACGTTAAGGACGAAATTTCCCCACAAGTACTGAATAAAACGTGTGGCGTTGGCCTCCGAGCCGTAGGCGAGGACTGGCCAACGCCACACGAGTAAAAAAACCCCATCGCAACAGCCCAGGAACAATATTTTTCTGTAGTGATTTTCAAGTTTTCGAGTTTGGGAAGTATGTAATACCAATTTCCAGACGAGAAATCGTGAGAAGCAGTACAGAAAAAGTGTTTTTTTGGCTCGCGGGCGGTTTATAGCACGAGCCGAAGGCGGGTGATATAATCCCACGAGCCAAAAAACACTTTTCCCATGAGTATCGAACGATATTTTTCATCACAATGTGTGGAAAAGGGACGTTTTAAAGTTACTTTTTCGCACAGCGTGTTGAAAAAGAATTATCCATTATTTATGTTCGGATTTAATGGATGGGCCTTTGGTGTTGGAGTACCATCGGCCACCAAACGATTTGCAATCACCCTCTGCTTTCAGAATTTTTTTTTTTATCGTTATTCTACATCGCTTCGACCCGGTTAGGGTATACTGCGATGATGATCAAGACTTTAAATGGTTAGATCGCACCATTCTATCCGGCTGGGATTTGAACTCGGAACTTTCGCATGTGAGGCAACGAACTTACCCACTGCGCCAAGCCACCGGGTGCTTTCAGAATTTAATTATACTTATATTTGTCTGATAGCTTAAATTTGCCCAAATTATACACGGAGAGAAATATTTTAGACAAATTTTAGTGCTATACACGGAGATAAATATTCAATAAAAATTACGTATCTTTTCCGTAATTCCGGAGCGAAATGTGGTTGTAGGAAATTTTACGGAACTGTCACGGAATTTTTCCGGAGCGTTCCGTAATTTTTATCTGAATCTCTTGTGAAAAATTACGATACCGTTACTTAAATTTTCTGAGTCGATTCCGTAGTCGGTGAGTGAAGTGAGAGTTCCGCAATTTTTACTGAACATTTCTCTCCGTGTAGCACGGGAAAAGAGGCGCAAAGTGACGGCAAGGAAAAAATTCCAGTTCCAGCACTAGAAATTTTATTGGGGAAAACGTGAATTTTTCTTCGTATTTCTGTGAAAATTTCACAGAAATCCCCAGACATTTTACCAGAAATACGAATAAATTTTACCTTAACAGCACTAGAATTTTTCACTGCCGGTGGACTAGAATTTTTCTATAAAATTTCTCTTCGTTTAAGTGTTTATTGGACAACGATATACAATCGTCAAAATAAGTTCCGCCAATCCGTGAAGTTAGCTACACTGAGAAAAATTTCAATGGTAATTTCAACTACAAGGGAATTGTCAAAGAAATTATATTTACAGTAACAATAAACTTTGTAGATTAAACTAGGATTCATCGTTCGATTTACTATGTCAAATAGTGTCATCAACATTATGATGCAATTTTCACGTTAATATAATAGTTGAATCTACAATGTTCATTGTAACCGTAACTATTATTTTTTTGACAATTCCCTTGTAGTTGAAATTACCATTGAAATTTCTCTCAGTGTACTGGTTGGAGTATGGGACTGAAACGAAGGACCGGTTCGTAGCTAACTTCGCGTACTGGCGGAACTTATTTTGACGATTGTACATAACTCAATATTGTTGCGTATCCCCCTTCGAATTCCTAGTGCGTAAAACCATCTGAAGGATACCCCTGAAGTCTGTCAAGAGACGATAGTCTTTTTGTATGATTCGACTCCCTAGAATAGATTGGACACACAATTGTACACTGAGCCTCTTAAACTAATAAACTGTTTGCCCCAGTGATTAATTAATTACTTGTATTCTCCTTATTTCATCGACGTAACAATGTCATTCACATGATAAAGTCGGAACGTCATAGAATTCCCTGTCGAACGAGTGTATTTACCCGAAAGACATAAATGTCTCACGAGAACAATTATCATTTGTTCCATGAACATTATAAGGGGTTTATTGGACAAAGATATATACAACTCAATAACATTCACTTGATAAATCCAAAGCCTCATATAATCCTCTGTGGAATGAATATATTCACCCGAAGGACATATAAATGTCTCACGACAACAATTATAATTACAAAATCTATCACGTTTTGGTCAAAACTTTCTTTTTCGTCCACAAGTTAATTGATTCAACCCGAAAAAAGATCTCTTCATGGGAACATATAATTTTTCGGCAAAACTAATTTTTTCTCGCAGCGTACGATAAGTGAAGTTGAGAGACCAACCAAATTACTCTAAAGTTCCGATATTTTTATGAAGTGGGCAAATTAGCGGAAAAAGACAACTCACTGGAGAAAAAACGACCAAATCGTTAATGATAATTGCACGCGAGTAAATCCAGGGGATTTCCAGTCCAAGAGGTATATTTAAACCGTCTCTCAGACCGCTATTTTCGCAGGAGGAGAAAAACCGTGCACCGTTTTTCTTATCAATGAAAAAAATTACTCCACTGTAAAAGTCAAGAGGGCAAAAGACCATTGGGAGCGGGGCAAATGATTTATCCTCACATCTCTTTATCTTTCTAAATCCCAGTGAGATTTAAGAAAAATGGTGAAAAGTAGCTCCCTGTATATTCATCTCCCTCTTTCAATTCATTCGCCGTGTTCATTTAATAGACTTGAAAAAAAATAGTTTTTCTTTGTCGTTTGAAATAAAAGAGTGCGGTACGAACTAGCTTGGTCGAATCCCAGCAGCATCTTTCTCAGCGTTCTGACTCTTCTCTCCCACAGGGCTACTTGTTTGTCCTCGGTATTGCCCCCGCATCCGGTTAAATTATTGTGCGCTGCTGAGAAACTCGCCCTAGCACTCGTAGCATCCAGAAATGAAGTTGAACTTGTCCCCAGTGTACCGCCAGTTCCACCTACTTCGTTGAGTCTGTGCTCCGCTGACAGCAGTAGTGATGCCAAGTGACTGCCGAGGCACTCTGGAGATTTAACTGGACAAATCGAATTATCCAGAGAGGAACAAAAAAAAAGTTACATGAGAAGGGGGGGGGGGCGATGGCAACATTAGTGAATCACTCAGCTTCACCAATGAAGTGACTATTATTCAATTTTTTAAGAGGATATTGACTCTTACACTGATTTCCCTCCTTTGCGCCGTATGCAACTAGCATTTTTATTAGTGATTTATTGTTGTCCAGCACAGCTACGTCCAGTGGTGTTAAGCCATCGCTGTTGACGCTTTCAAAGAGAATGAGATAGAGAAAAAAATGGATGAGAAATTGTGGAACTTTTCTTGATACTTTCGGAGAATAGAGTGGGTGTGGTGGTACAGATAAGAGGGGAATGCGAAAAATCGATGAGAGTCCGTGTGGACACAGGGACAAATAAAGTTGTGGATTGTCTCTTTTTTTTTCGGTCATTTTTTCTACTCGCGCCCTATTTATTTCGACATTATGACAAATTTGTGACCGTGTAGACTAAATACAAAATGAAGGGGAGAGTAGAGGAAAGAGTCGATGGAAATGTGAAACAGAAGAGAAGTGATAAATGATAATTGACATAATACCTATTGACATCGATATCCGCCGATTCCAATATCGTTTTCACTTTGTCCAACTGGCCCTGCTCGATAGCTGTAAATAGAGCTGAAAGAAAAAACATTGAATATATGCATATGAATGAACACCGTCAAAATCTCATACACATTATGCCCCATTTAGACTTTGTTTATGATATTTTTATACTCCTTATTTCCCTAGGCATTACTATTCCGACTTTATGATGTTTTTTTAGCCGCTCTGATGTAGCATGAACAAAAAATGCCGGAGAAATATGTACACTCGAGATAAAATGAGAGAAAAATAAAAAATACCATGCAAATGTATGTTGAGGGAGGGTTGAGCCACGAGAGGATTAATCGTTCCTGTTGTCACGTGGTTTGTCTGATTATGATGTTGGTTCTTATTTTTCTTTCCAAATCCTTCCAGGAACTCCATGCCTTGAAGCGATTGTAACTCTAGTGAGATTAAACAAATAACACCAAAACATAAATTATAAAAAAGTAAAGAGTACAATACCCGGGCAGAAATATCGACATAATATTACAAAACTAATTTCTTGCGTGAAATGTCTCATCTCTTAAGAATAAAACGCTTCGAAGAATTCCGAATAATGAGTCAGACCGTGTGAGAATCCTGTGAAATGTTCATGAGTTGGCAAAAGTGACAATTTTTTGCCTCAAGAAATTGTTCTTTTCGTGTCAAAAGATGAAAAAATTACAAAAACTACTAAAACAGCTTTGATTCAGTGAATCATGGATCAGAGACTTTCATATTGAATGAGTACAGAATTTTTACAGGGGAGAACCTTCAGATATGTCTAAAATATAACCGTCACTTGCTCTGAATCGCAATGAGTTTGAAGGAAAGCAATAACATCTGTTCCTTCTGTCAAACTTACTTCGTCTCTTCAGGAATATTGTCTAATTTCCAGAAGAAAATATAATTTTTTCATTCACAGTTAGAAATTTATCGAAATTTCATGGAAAATGTGATCGTAATTCTCGGGAGAGTGACATTGAATCCGTTTTAGGAGCAAAATGGTTATGAAATTTCAAGTTTTGGGTGGAATTCAAGGAATTTCATCAGTTTTCAGTGGCAGGGAGATGGACATTTCACAACTTGAGTGAATTTTTAATGTAACATAAATATTCAGAAACAGAATGACACGAATTTTCAATTTTTCCCTGAATTTTTCTGATTTTTGCGAGTTTTCCCGGAATAATTGCACTGAAAAATCAAGTATTTTAATGATTTTCAGATCATTCGAACAGAAAATTAATGGAATATTTGATTTTTCAATAACAAGATTTCCTAAAATTTCAGGGGAAATCAAACATGATAAAAATATTCGGCTTTTGACACAAAAAATTCTGACGAAAAATTTCAACAATTTTTTAGTATCATCCTCCTTTTGCCTGCTTTTTAGCACTGTTAAAAAATTTTGTCCGAAATTTGCGGTTCACTTTTAGGAAATTTGTATCGAATTTAATTACCACTGAAATTTCCAGGAATTTCATCATTGAAAATTCAAAATTTTGTGGAAAAATCAAAGAGAACTATCAATGTCAATTCCGTTTTTCCCTGAAAATGAATAGAAAACCAGAAAATGCAGCTAAATATATTCTTGAATTTTCAGGACAGTGACACTGAATGCGATTTAGGGGGAAAAATGATGAAATTTCGGATTTCACTGCAAATTGAATGTAATTGGGCACTGAATATTCACATTAGATTGGAAATTCAATTCAATTAAGGAATTCTCGTCTTTGTGCTGCTTAAAATTTTGCAATTTTACTGAATTTTCAGTGAAATCTGAAATTTCATGATTTTTCCCCCCTAAATCGCATTCAGTGTTACTGTCCTGAAAATTAGTAGTCAACTGTTCATGAAATTTCATTTTTCTCCAATAGTGAGTATCGATTTCTTGTCTGAAACCTACCATGAATTGATCGAATATGCGTGCGATGTTCGCCACCCAAGAAATTGTTTTTCTCATATTACATCGATTTTTCTCATACTACATGGATTTTTCTCTCAGTGTAGGTACACCATCATTCGTTCAAATAGTTAATATGACTAAAAATGGAAATAATGCACAACGAAAGAGGGGAATAAAACAATACTGGATAAAATTAAATTCTACATTAGCAAACCGTCCGTATCACATTCTACCTCAAGTAATGGAATGTAAGATGACCCGACATTTCGGCGCTGTACTGCAGCGTAACGCCGTCAAATTTTCCATTCAAATCTAGTGAAACGAAAATTGAGCCATTCCAACGTGCCAAGTTTTAGCTTAAAAACAAAGTGATTGAATTAAAAGGGAATTGAACGTGCTGAAAATGCTTTTGAATTCTAAAATGGAGTCACGCACGTGCATGCGAGTGAAGTATATTCACTCGACATGAATGCCGCACCGAGGTTTCATTCCTAAATTCTAAAAACGCACATCGATTGGATTTCGTCGAATACTCGAAAAGTTGAGATAAAAGAAAAATTCTAGTGGTAGAATAAAAATATCGAACTGAAGGACATACTGCTGCTTTCTCGATATTTCCACTTGAAATTTGTGGAATGTGTATTGAACCAGGAATTCGATATATTTCCACTCTCATCGTTCTGATGAACGACATCGTTGGGCAATTTTATTTTTTCATTTCTCAATAACGCAGTCCGTACGCTACGAGTCTCCGCATTACCACAGACAATTTTCAGTCTGTCTCTCGACGCTACTTGCTCCATATCTTTGACAGTTTCGTCTGTGCCAGAGCAATTTGCAGCCTCAGCACCGGCAACTGGCACAAATAGATAATTCTTAAGGGACGAATCCAGTGAATTATCCAGTGCAAAGCTTGGATTTTCATATCCACCATCGCACAGCCACGTTTGTTTATTATCGACAACATTCTCATCATCCTCAAATCCATAAAACCTGTATGTACTACTCTTCTCATATCTGTCCTTTTTTCGAATATCATTGGTAGATATTGTCAATTTACGGGTGAGATCCTCAGTAATGACACTCGCGAGTGAATCAATATTTTCACCAACGGTTGACAAATACTCCTGGGAGCTTTGCATACTATCACTGATTGAATTATACGACTCAAACACTTCACTACGATTGCGTATCTTTGATATTAATTTGACCGAGGCACGAAACGACCTTGACCTCTTCAAACTAGATATTCCACTGCTACTGGGAACACGTCGTTTCATTACTCTCTCCATCTTTGGACTCTTAATTGCACTCCTTCGAAATCTCATTTGGACTTTATTTATGAATTCCTCAATTCCGCCGTTATTCTTACGTCAATGACAATTAATTGCTCTCTCTAAATTTATTTCTCTTCCTCCCCATTCGTTGTCTCTTCATCTTCCTCCTCATCTACCCCCAGTTATTTTCTGCATGAAGGAAAATTCCTCGTATACTTTGATTTTATTATTCTCAAGGCACTTTACACTCGTCGATTTTTGTGAGAATAAAGGTAAATTGCGTGAATACTATTTTCAATGATCTTATCTCGATTTTTAAAAAACTATGATTGGAATGTTGGGAATAGCGTCGTAACGCCACAAATCTACGGTACCACAGAACTAGACGTATCTGTCGTTAGAATACCCACGCAAAGAGGCACATAATAACTACTCGTCCTGACGCCATGTGCCCTCGACCGTACAGAACCCCAACATCTGTCTCCTCTCTCTCCCTACCAGTAATTTTTCAAACTTGGGACCCCTCTCAGTCTCGGGTTCACTGTTTGCCCCCCCCCCCCCCCC